TGCCATCGGAACTGCTGGCACAACCTACCGTTTCCTCAGCACAGCGCCATCACCTCCTTTAAGTTGATGCTCGAGTGGAGTTGCGGTTGTTGTCTCCGCACTACTTAGTGAAGTGGGGCAAGCACTCCCCTCCTCACTCCCTCCTTGGTGAATTTCATGAGTGGTGTGTTCATCGTGTCACACCAACGATGGAGCTATGTTGGTCTCCTGCCAAACGTGACAACATCACGACATTGTGGCAGCGTTGACGAGAGGGGGAACAAACAACGTCTTTCTTATCGGCTATTGTGTTCATCGGTGCACAGAGGGATGGTGTGTGTGTGTGTGTGTGTGTGGTGCTCTGTGAGGCCAATTGTCGCCTCACCTTTCAAACGTCAACGTGGTGGTGGACTGTACTGTTGTTTTGGTGGAGGAGAAGGTGGGACCACCATGACAACAAAAGAGCTGTGACGATAGTTGGCGTCGGAATAAAGAAATGTTTCTGGTTGCTGCTGAGGATTTTTAACAAAACCATCGAGCATTTAATTATTCTGGCTCTATTTGTTTTTTTGGTACTTGGCTTGCTTTGACCACTTCATTGACAAAGATGAAAACGTTTCTGTGGCATTGGCCAATACTAAGCTTGCCACTCATTCATCGGCCACTGACCAATCACCGTGTGAACGGCTAGCCAATGAAATGCTTAGAAAATTGTTCTGTTATTGCGGTAGGGTTGTTTGTTAAATCAAATAATGAACTTTTGCCTTTTGGCAGCATTAAGCAGTAAAGTTATTATTGCATGTTGTTTTGCGCTTATTTAATTTCAATGGGTGCCATTGCTTAGTGGTGACCACTGGGCCAATTACTCAATGGTTATGGGCATTGCTTGAGCACAAATTCGGACTTAGATCCATCATATGCCCTTGATTTAAAGCAGGCGAATTTTTGGTTTTTTGTTTTTTCTTTCATTATGGAAACGTAATATTTTGGAAGGAGTGAAAATAGTTTTCCTCGTCTCCAACCATTTGCGATTGGTTGGCACTATTTTGGTCCCTCCAGAACTCTGACATAATCGATATTAGTTCTCTATAATGTTGTAAATTGGTTCATTTTATGGTGAAAAAATCCAGCATCATTCAATCTTTGGTTTATTTTTGGGAATCGCATTGATTTTACAGATGGGAAATTCGGGTGCAAAATGATTACTTTGGGTAAATCACCTCTATTTGATCTTGCACCTTTTGCTTTTCCCGCAGCTTTTTTAATGCACTGAACAGGGGCTAATTCTTCTACTTATCTTGTTCTTTTTTCTATTTAGGCAGCTTAGCTATTTGTTGGGTTTAGAATTTCATTTAACTTAGCACATATGCCACGTCAAATATTGAAGAGGCAGTTTGCGCTGTTGCACATTTTCACTGTCATCTTGTCTATTTGAACTAACCAAGCCTTCTTTATGTGGGCTATAAATACGTTTCGGTAATTAAAGATGTTTCAACGGGAAAATTTTCTGTTTTAAGCGAGTTAAATCAATTTTTGTCGAGTATCTATTGTAGAAACGCTGATTAAAAGGGAGCTTCTGATTGGTTCCTTCTTCCTTACGCCAATGAGAATTGGTAAAGCCTCCCCCCATCACCCAATCACATTTCGACAAACTTTTTCGACTCTTTTGGAATCACAATTGAGGTCGATTGAACACAATTTTTATTTCTGAGATATTGTCCAACACATCTTATCGAACAGTTTAAGCAATGGAATCTCGAAATTATGTCAACCAAATGTAGATTTTTTCGTCTTGGAGATTATTTTACCTCCCATCGCTTCACTTTTTATCCTTTTCTCAAACGTTGGGTTGTCTCTATCGATTCACCGGTGTTGCCTCTCACCAGTATTGTGGTTTTTGTCCTTAAAATTATAAGTTCATTTTGGGAGTTTCAGTTCGATAAATATTTGCTGTCCGCGATCACTCCCTAGGACCCCGAAGACGTCTCCTTCCGTCGCAGCCCCTCAAATCCCTCTTTTAGTCTGGCACCTGCAACGTTGAAACCCTCGGCATCTGTAGAGGCTCTTGGTGGTCGTCATCGCAACTTGAACTCCACAGAGGACCTCGTAACGGCTAGCACCTCCGTTACCGGTCTCGCCCGCACCCCTTCTCCTCTCGCCTCCCCGCGACCCGTCTCCTCGGCTACGTGGGACTTTCCTTTCGTAGTGAAACCATCATGTCGAAGTGCTGCCTGCCCTCTCGTGGTGTTTATCAATCCAAAAGCTGGTGGCAATCAGGGTGTAAGGCTGCTGAAAAAGTTCCAGGGTCTTTTGAATCCACGACAGGTCTTCAGTCTCACCGAGGGAGGCCCGAGATTGGGGTGAGCAATACATATTTTCGCTTCTTGGCAGTTGACTGGGAAGCTGACATTTTGAGGCAGTGGCTGGACGAGAAGGTAGTTGGATGAAAGACTGAATGGGTGGGTGGAAATGCAGGGAGAGATTGAAAGGACTTCTTGAAGGCTTACCTGATTCTACAAGTTAACCAGATGATGATATGTGGATGGCGGTTGGTTGGTCACTTTCAGCTTTCTTCGGCTTCTATGGTTTTTTCCACCTCCCCTACCCCTCGAAAGAGCTTCAAATCCAAGTTGGTCACAAATTCATTACCTTCAAACAGAAAGAAGATGAATTACCTATTGTTTCTTCTCTTCAAGAAGAACTTTCTAAGCACTGGGACCTGATAGAGAGCCACTTCAAGGTACTTACCAGTCGCTCGTTCCTGTTCTCGTCCTTTTGAACGAAATTGAGAACTTTTTGCTCGTTCTTTGCGTGGGAAAAAACAACCCTGGTTAGTCTCGTTGTACGGAGTCACGCGCAGTAGGACCGCCTGGCGAGAGAGAGGGGAAGCAGGTGGGTGAGGCAGGGGCGAATATATTTTCAAAACTCTTTTTTAAAACTTTTTGTACTGACAGGCTGTCAGATAGGAATATGATGCTTTACCTACCGAATGGTTGATCGGCGTCCTGATGCCAGCCCTCTAGGGCTACAAGGCGGAATCTGGTCTCATTCACTATCTTCTGGGATTGCGCTTCTCCAAATTCTTTCTGTGACAGAAACGAGATAAAAATTAAAACGCTAAACGTTAACTTTTATTCTTTCTTTCCTCGACTTCCTCATCCCCCTCTTTCCTCCTCCCACCACTCATATTTCCAGAAATCGAAAAATTGGAGGGATTTGATTCTGACACTCGGTTGTCAGGAGTAGTTAAATTCTGTCAGAAACGGTTTAACCTCTTTATTCTGTAAAATTTGTTGTTCCGTGAGCTTAGATCGCTTTGAGCTTTCAATCGGGCGATGAAGCATTTGTTACAGGTGTCGTTGACCGTTGAGCAGGTTTGAGGTTGCTGGACACTCCAATTGGAGGCACTTCCGAAGACGCGATTGTATCTCACTTCCTCAAACTTGGTATTTGCGTGACCTTGGCGTCAGGGCAAAGTACATCTCTTAGTCATATCAGCCAATCAGGGGAGAGGGAGGGAGAGGAGCGCTACTTTCTGCAACGTTAGAGGTTTTGACGTGATTATTCCGACTCTAAGAAAGTCGAACAGGGAATGATTTTAGGGTCTCCACACATTGCAAAATGTTCAAACGCAGTTTTTGACACTTCTTTTTGAAAGTTATTGGAATGCTGTTGCGAGGCCTTACTTTGTGCTTTTGTCGTCTTTTGTGAATCCTCTTGGAAGTTCGGGGAACTCTACGCTCGAAGTCCTCTGTGGCCTACAATAGGCGATGCTTTTGCAATTTTACGAGTGGAGGATCGGATGAGGCATTTCATTCGGATGATGCACAATTCGTTGGTCGCGTCTGGCTGATGAGTCGGCTTCCGTGCTATCATTCCTCATCCGTCTACCAATTTATCCACTCATCTGACTTGCAACTAACTTTGATCGTATCAACATGCGACCTTTGATCTCATCGGAATGTTTTCTATGCCATTCAGATTGGAGCTGTTTGGTCGTCTACCAAATGTTCGCTTACTTGTCTGCGGTGGCGACGGAACTGTGGGATGGATTTTATCCGAAATTGACTCTCTTGGCCTCCACCCGACACCTCCTGTTGCTATTCTTCCATTAGGCACTGGAAATGATCTGGCTAGAACCCTTCAATGGGGTCCGGTGAGTTAAACCGCTTTTTTTCCCCTAATCTGGGATGTCAGAATTTCACCACTCTGATTGACCTTTGGTCTCCTGTCAACGTTTATGCAAGTCTTTCGTTTCCTACCTCCGCACAATCGTCGCGGAGGCTGACTCGCTTCTCTTCGTTTAATCTCGCGAATTTAGCATGCCACCTTTTTTCAAACCTCTTTAGGGATATGCAGAAGAACCGTTGCAGAAGATTCTAACCTCAGTTGAAGAAGGTCGCGTTGTCCTGCTTGACCGGTGAGTTTGCTGATGGGATGAAGGAGGTGAGGATGGATCAAAGAAGAGTGACCTAGTTCTCCTTTCAGTTTGATAGCCTGATAAAATTGTGCTGCCTTCTTCTCACTCTATTGGTTGTTTTCTTTGTCCCCAAGTTGGAACATTAAAAGTCGTCCCCTCACACCATCCGACTCCAACGTCGAGGACGACAGCGAGATGTCCTCTTTGAGTGGAGGTGGCGGACTACAAATGTCGGATAAGTTGCCATTAAATGTGATGAACAACTACTTCTCCCTCGGTGCTGATGCCGCCACCGCATTGGAGTTCCATGAATCTCGAGGTATTTTGCTCCATTTTAGTCCTGCTTTATTGGCCAAAAGTTTTAAATCAGGTTATAATACGTTTTCGAACATTAAGACGAGCAGACAACTTGTCACGAATGAATTCACAAGTAGTGCGTCTTTGAACTGCCAATTTTATGTGCGCCTTTAATGATGTCTCAACGCGTTTCCTGCCTCTCGCTTCAAACCCCGGTCTTTTAGGCAAATCCTTTAGTCTTTAGTCTTTTAGTCCCGAATACGGAAGCACAAAACGCCTTCAGTCAATGCGAATGCGTTTGTGCCCTGAAGAAGGAAGGTAGAAGGTAAAAAGCATGACCTTTTAAATGGAGGGTGTCAAGGTCATCGAACGTGAATCGTGATTGCCTACCGCCTAATGATCCGGTAGGCTGCCAAACCGGGTGAAGGCAGTAATGGCCTTTTGTGGGGCGTGTGCGATCCTGCTGGCAGAGTCTCACACGCATCCCCATCGAAAATCGTGACCTGTCCCTCTCAAACTCCCCTTTCGTAGCTCCTACTTAGTCCTTTTCATGGGGCCGTAATATGTGCTCCATCGTTTTGTGTAACGCTTTTTCCCAACCTCTCAGCTGGAATGTGGATTTGTTCAAATCACTGTCTTTTTCTCCTTCCCCAAAACGCGAAAGTAGGGCACTTTCTTTATACTTCGATCTTAGGGAATGTGTCACCATTCTGGCATTCCATTTGCTCTCGCATGCCTGCGGGTGGCTAATTTTTTTAAGCGATAACGTAAAGGCAATATTTCATTTAAAAAAAGGCAACTAGCGCAAGTGGATGGAAATCTTTTTAGCCAGCCTTCTCTCCAGGGTTGTAGATGGTTGTCTCATTGACTTCTGATTAGTTATCTCTTCAGTCAATTTTCTGGCCTTTTAACTCTCGCCTTCACCTCTCTTCCTCCCCCTCCTCGTGAAATAAAACATTTCTTTTCTTACGATTGTACTGCTGTTAAAAGTATTTAATTAGCTCCTGGTCCCATTAATTATGTTTGCCTGGTCTCCAGTCCAGGAACAAAGGACGGGGTGGGCGAGGGACGCTGTCCCATTTCCTCCTTCCCTACATTTCTCAACCAGATTACACAATGAGGGGTTTGGCTGTTGACTCCTCCATAAATATGATGCTTTTTTCCTACTTTTCCATATACCTTTATTTTTCCTTCCCTACCTTTGCATCCCCTACTCAGAGGCCAATCCGGACAAATTCAACAGCCGATTGAAGAATAAGATATTCTACGCTGGGGTACGACTTCTGTCCCATTCATATTTCTTCAATTCAGTCATCTTTTTTAAAGGCGGGGAAAAAATTTTTCTTGGTTTTTTTTATTTCCACAGGTTGGAGGAATGGATTTGATACGCCGATCGTGGCGAGACCTGTCCGACTATGTCACCCTTGAGGTTAGTGCACCCTTTTTCCCACTTTCGTCCTTTTCGTACCACCGACAGTCTGAAGAAGAGAAAAAACAATCAAAATCTAGCACCTAGTCTGATTCTCCGTGGTTAGTGTTTGGCCTTCCTGCTTCTGTGTCCTCCTTTTCGTTTTCTTTCTCAACTTATCGCAACGACGAGACCTACTATACACAAAGGAAGGTCATGCCTAAAAGCTGTTTTTTTTTTAATCAAGTGTTCTGGAGAACCAGTCCTCTTTTGGTGCAGAAAAGTTGTTTAAAGCGATTCTTCCAAATTTATTGTGATGCATGTCGTTCGTTTCTCCTAAAAATCTCAAACCACCACTCACACCCTCAAAATGTCACCCTTTTCAATTTTAGTGCGATGGAGTGGACATGAGCGATAAGTTGAAGGAGCTGCGACCTCACGTCCTGCTCTTTCTGAACATTCCAAAGTAGGTTTTTTACTGCTCAAGTGACTTCACCGGGATGTGATTTTCTTGAACCATTTTTTGACTTTTAAAATATCAGTGCGTTAATACATCGTTGGATATTCAAAGAACTCGGAACTTTTATCAAAATAACATTCAGAAATTTGAATTAAATTTACACAGGGCAATAACCAACTTTCCAGCACCATTAGGATCAATATGCACTAATTCACTACAAATCTTCTCCTTTGATTGGTTGGTGACACTGATTTTGAATGTTTTTTTATTGTTTTTAAGGTACAGTGCTGGAACTGTTCCATGGGGTCACTCTTCTGACCCAGACCAGCAGCAAAGGATAGACGATAAGAAATTGGAAGTCATTGGTCTGACTACGGCCACGCTTGTGCGTTTTTTTTTTGGGAACTTCCCTACATTATGGTATATTCCATCTTTTAACTTGCACTTTCATATATACAAACACACGAATGGCACTTTGTGGTACCAAGGTAGGAGACGAAGCTTGAAAGGATAAGGAGTCTTGTCTTCCTTGCGGCATAATTGAAGTGAGGGTTGTCTTGGCTTCCTCGATCGCTTGTAACGGATTTTTGGTGCCTTTGTTAGGTTAGGGCATGTTATCTGCAGTGACTGAACTACTTTTAAGGGCGTTATATATTACAAACTAGTCTGCTGCAAGTGTCCTCTATGTAAGCGTATAGGAGTTTGGTGAATTTAGCAATGTGGGCTTATTTTTCCTTGAAATCTATTCCACTGATAAACCGCTTTGTAGGCCACCTGTGTTGCCGTATTTTAGGCTACTTTGCAAATGGGTGGCCACGGTGATCGAATTTGTCAATGTTCCGAGGCGCATCTGGTCACTATGAAGACCATTCCAATGCAAATAGACGGCGAGCCATGTCGACTCGGACCCTCAATTATCGACGTTCAGTTGTGTAATCAGGTTTATGTTGTGCAGAAGACGCGTCGAGTCGAAGGCAGTTCTCCAGCTCAGTGAGTCTTCAGCCATTCCTTCTTTAATACTGCTGCAGCACTCTTGAGTACATCGTCGAATGTAGATGAACTGGACAATCTATTGAAGTCATTAAAGTAACATAGCGTGAGCATTTCACGTAGACCATTTCTATGTCAAGTACAAGTCAGGTCGCGTTTTAGGCGATAAATAAACACTATTGATGCTGACGTATTTTTTTCCCACATCTTTTCCTCTTTTGCCCCATTCCGACAACCAGGTCAAGTCCACGCGATATTTCGCACCATCACAGAGGGGGATCAGATTTTCAGCATTACATATCGCTTTAACACCTAAAACACAATCACTTCCCTTTTACACTGACTCCTTTCAATTTCCAACTCTATTTTATGCAGAGGAAAATCTGATGATTTTTGTTTTTCTGGGTGGTGGTGGTGGTGGTGGTCGTCGAAATGAAACCTGTTTACACTGGTCGTTATAAATTCCGACGCCTAATAGCGAAAAATCTCTACACCGCTGCAGATCAAATAATTTGCCTAATAGTTTATCATCTCTACCTTCTCACCTTAACTTCCTACCGCCTTTACTGCACTCACGATGACAGCTTAGTCGGGTGCTTCGAGATTAAACGCTCGAATTTAGCTGATTATGACTGTCTCCCAGTTTTAGTGCTAACGGTCGTCTTGTGAAGATTTACATCATCTATCCCGACCACAACGAAGCTCCCGAAACACTTGAGCATTTGTGTAAAACTGGTAAGTTGTTCTACTTTGGCATTCGATAAGCTCATTGACTAAAATAACCCTTAATTGTGGTTGAGACGATTGTTTGTCGAATCACTTGCTTTGGAAATTGTAGTAGATAAGGGCCTTTTGTTCTTTTTGTTGCATAAACTCCTTTTTTTAAATCCCCACACAGCTCAACACTTTGCCAGTCTTCGAATAGGCGCCTACACGGACCTCAATGCAGTGCGTCGTCAGATAAAGCATTCCCGAAATCCGCTTAGTTCCAGCGGTGATGATGTCCCTCTTCCCGACAAATGGATATTTTTGGACAGTAAGCTGATATTTTTACTACTACTGCAATCTTGTCCCTTGACAGTGACCGCCATCAATGGTCAGGTGTACGGCATTGACCCACACATGGAATCGGCGCATTTTATAACGGACATTTTGTCAAATGATAACGAATTGTTTTTGATCAGTCAGGATGGGAAATACGAGAAGCGTCTCAATGTTGCACGATTCATTCAATCAGAAGGTAAATTATTCGCTCCCTTCTTGCGTCTCATCTTGGAAATTATTGGTCCCTTCGTAAACTGTCTGCAACAGTAATGCCACTTCTTCAATATCCTTCAGAGACTTCGCGAAAATCATCACAAAGTTCGCAAATTCCTTGGGACATTTGCTGTCCTATGGACGCAAAGGTACGCTCAAAACAAACCTTTTTGCTTCAAAGTTCCGTCGGCTGTAATGCTCGTTTCTTGCTCCAGGAAGGCCACGAATACCAGGAGCCGCAGATTTTGCTTCACAGGTCACTGTGAGTATCTCTTCCAGTTGAGTTGTTTCATAGTTCGTACAGTATTGCTGTATAAGTAACTTATTTTCTGTTTTTTTTTTCAGTTCTTCGAAACTTCAACCAAGTGAAGTCTGCAAGAAGGTCAGTTTCACTGCGCACTTGGGCCCTTCCTACTCTTGCCCCAACCTCAACGATTCATTTCTGGAGGACCTCAGTAGTGTCTACTCGAAGGTTGATTATCGCGACGACGAAGGCACCCCAGACGACGTTGATAACGACGACACTAACACCACTTCCTCCATTGCCTCCACCCAACACGAATGTTTTCCCGATTGGCGACATTGGCGTCGAGTGCCTCCAAAAATCTTAGTCTCTCTAGCGACCTCCAAACTTGTCAAGGAGAGTGGTGTTGGTGTAGCGCCAAATCCTGTTCAGTCATTGAACAACTTGATTTCGGCAACTGAAACACCGCCGGACAGGAGAAACGTTCCATTGGCGAAAATCTCTGTAACCAGTGATCCGGGATTCGCTCTGAATCTTCATGGTCTTGTTAAGAACAAACTTCAGGCGTGTAAGGCAAACATTACTTTGGATTATTGCTATGCCACCATATTTTGCTTTGCAACTAACTGCCGATTTGAAATTTAAGTCATTTAAGCACAATCCGAGTGATTGGAAATCAAAACTAGTGCTCTTGACCGTTGACGACTTCAATTTAACTAGGATAGAGGACTTGTCATCTTATCTACAGATAGTGAGATGAGAATGGTTTCGTAATCTGACAAGAGAGTTCTTTAAGCCTAAAAATTTCATTAACCTTAAAGGGACGTTTTGTGAGGGTGCTGAAAGCTTGGCAAAACTTTTTCACGACTTTAACACCTAAATTTTTCACGTATAGATTACTTATCTGCTTGCCGGTCTGGACATATTCTGGACGTGCAAAACGCATTGGAGGCTGGAATTTCACCAATGACAATTGACCGTACTACTGGAAAATCTGGCCTCCATCATGCAGCCAAATTTGGGCGACTTAACGTCGTCCAATACCTCATTGCTAACGGTAACTGATCCACTACTTGCTGTTTTTAAAAGTAAAATGGGATAAGAAGATATTTCTTTGCTCCAGCTCCCAAAGAATTACTGGAACTACAGGACTATAGAAGGTGAGAAAATGTATCAGATAACGCTGCTATCGAAGCCGAACACTATTGGGCGGCTTTGACGATCAACGGCGACTGATTTCTAAAATGTCCTTGCTACTTATGATTTATAAATAACATTTTTATCTTCAGAAAGCAGACCGCATTGCATAAGGCAGCGGCGAGTAAACGTCGACGAATTTGCGAGGTTCTTGTTCGGGCTGGAGCTTGCGCTGGTTGTGAAGATGTCAATGGAGACACACCCAGTGCCCTTGCTCTCTTCGCTGCTGACAAAAAACTGGCACACTTTCTGCAAAGTTTGTATTTTGTTTCAACACTAAACCACTACGTCATAAGCGTACCAAAATCGTTGCCACTTACTCTTCCCCTTTTTTCCTTTAGGGGAGGAGCTAATGCAGCTAATCAGACGAAATAATGAGGAGCCCCCTCCTTCCAGTGCCAAAATGGTATCCCTTAGCAATCTCGTGACAACCCTTCCACCTCCACCGTGATCTGCATTCATTCCACCAAAACCTTTTTTACACATAAAAACACCAAGGAACAAAGACACATGAAAGACGTTATGAGCGCATTGTACATATTGTATGCGGCATTTCCAGAATAGCGACTTTTCAAACTAAAGGATGTTTGAGTTGTTTCAAAGCTCTTCAAATTTTCTTTTACTCCGAATAGGTGCCAGTGTCGTCCATCTTAGCCGTGCACGATGGCAGCTTACGCACTTGAGGGAACGAGAATGCGTTCATGACGGCGTATACGCAATCCTATTACACGTTGAGCACCCTGAACCCCTTAATTGTCTGCAGCTATTCAGAGAGTTATTCCCTAAAGGGCGCTGCGGGACCTATAAAAACCTGCAGCATATCGAGCAGAGGCGGCTAGACTGCCTGGTAGAGCTTTAGCATGCACTGCTAGCGAATGCGCATGTCGGCGATCCAAACCTCAGCAGGTGGCGAGGATGAGCGCAACCATTACAATCGGAATGTAGTTGTGAAGGGCAATTGTTAGTACCAGCAGGTAGGGAGCTAATGAGGCCGAGGCAGAGACAGACGACAGTCCTGTCGGAGGGGTGCAATGAGATAAATATTTACTGCTAAAATCACTCAAAAAAATGCTTGAATGCATATACAAAAGGGAGGCAACAAGGAAAACAGTTTAAACAGATGAGGATAACGAGGCCGAAGGTGGAAGCGCACAGGGTTATGTACACAGATACACTGAGTAGTCCGGATTTCATCGGCAAAGTCAAATTGGAATTTTAACATCTCTGCTGCTATCAACGGTGCCTATTCCGTCAACATCTTCATAGTCTTCATCGGATTGCGCATTACTCTCCTCATTCCTTGAGGGCTGTTCGATTCTCTCCTCCTTCACTTTGCGATTTTCCTCCTCCCCGATTTCTGGTTGCTGAGGGCTGGGTGGATCTGCCTCATCCTCTTCTTTCATCGATGAAGAAGGCGATTTTGTTGTGGAAAGGGTGAAAATGGTCAACTTATGCAACGACTGGCAGTGAGAGACAAGCTCCCAGGCGCTGTGAAACTCCTCCCCACAGTAGGCGCAGTCCATGCTATCCGGTTCGCCAGCTATAAACAGCACAGATTCTACTGGTAACATTTAAGCAGGGCATATCACACCAAACGTATATATTTAAGCAGATTACCATGGCCCACCCAAACGTCTACACTAGAAGCAATAGCAATAGCCATCAAACCAAAACTCCTCAAGAGATTGCAATATCCAGGTTGAATTAGTGCATTGAATGTGGTTAAAAAGAGCAAAAATGCAACAATATCCGAAAGTATAAAGGTACAGCGTTGCTCACAAGCATAAAGCAGGACTGGTACTAAAGGGCAAAATAAGATTGCAGTGTTTCAATGATAAAGCTGGACAAAAAGATAATGAGCAAACCTAATGGCGAGGGGAGCCTTTCAACGCACTCCTATGCGTCCTAATAGATGCAATTATGATTTAATTAACACAATGAACAAAAATAGAAAAAGTCAGGTAGCATTTGGAGAGGGCAGTGAACTATGCGACAGAGTGCTAGCAATGAAAAGTGCGGAGTAATTTGCTCCCGCATCCGTTGATGAGGCACAGGTCAAGTAAAAGATAAGGCAGTGAGTCCCTTAGATTGTTGGTCGATTAAAATACGATGACCGCCACTTATACCTGTGTCTATGAGGATTCACACATTAACACAGTCCAGCGAGTCTGACTTGCTTTGCATGCCATAGAGGACAACAACGATGGCTTGTTTGTTGAATGTCAAACGATTGAAATGTAAGTAAATGCAGTACCACATGAAGATGGTTGGAATGAGGCCCCATTCTTGCCCTTCTAAGTGGACCCCAAATTTTCATGCACACAGCATAATTTAGCATCTCTCCGAGGAGGCGCTACTCCATCCTTCCCTCTTTCCCTCAGTGATGTCACACTGATTGGCAAGAGATGAATACCCCAACCTCTCCGCACTGAGCAAATACAGAATGGGACAGAAAAGGAAGGAAAGAATACGAGACAAAATGTTTTACATAGCTAGAATTTGCACTAACACTCCTTCTCCAGAGCAGTGATCAACTTGATCTAGAGTGCGACTGTTGGATAAAAATTACGTAAACTGCATCTACTGAATCGGTAGGGAAATTACCTAGGAGTGGCTCAAATTTCCTATCGCACATTAATGCACGTGGCTAGAAACCGATGAGCCTGACTTTCGTGATTCTTGCAAGAGCATTCGCCATCAAAGAAAGACTTCGCCATGAGATAGCATTGAAGCTTCAAGAAAAGCTTTTCAAAACCGCTTTCACGCATTTCGCAACCTTCTTAAAACCTGCGTAAATTCACGCCGAAAATATCCCACTTCCTTGAAACCAACGTGGCATTGTAGAATTTGCTCAATGAAAAACACGGGAGAACGTTTTCAACGACTTGAAAACGACATAAAGAAACAGGACTTTTCAGGAAAAGCGAAGAAATGAAGTTAAATCTCCCACGATATTCTCACCAGCTAATTCTAGTGAACAATCTTAAAAAATTCGAGGATGTTCAAATTCACAATTTCATTTACACACAACCACCCACGCGATTTCTCAACCACACCAAGAGGGAACCAACCTACAAGAGCCGCTAAAAGTTCAAGTAATGAGGGGAGGGAGTGGAAGGAGGAGGGAAAAGAAAAACGTTGAAAAACGTTTCGATGAACTGAGCAGTCAAAGCGACAGCAGAGGCACAAATTTTAAATCTACACATAATAGAACGAAAACATCAGGCTTTAGTGCCAAAAATGTTAAACCATTTAATTTACTCGTATGCAATCAGCAATAGAACGAAAAAAAAAATTGCACAGACTTCAAAGAGCCGAGGTCAAGATGAGGTTTGTGACAATCAAAGTGAAGTCCATACAAATTTTCATTCCCCATAAATAATGTGACAAAAAGCAGTTGAGATATTTACTATTGGGACAAAGGCGTCCAAATAAGGGTCACTAACACTAGGAAGAAGTAGAACCCGTATCTGAACTGTTACCTTGTTAAAACATTCACCATTATTCACGATGTTTGCTAATGCGACAACAAATCCAAAGTCATACAAAAATATACCAATACTTGCAAAGACTTTACAGACTAAGACAGCTTACTCAGGTAATCAAGAGTGAATATGAAATTACATGAAGGACGCGAAAGGACATGAATGCATCGTTAAATACCAAAACCAAGGTTCCCACAAAGCGGCTATTGCCACCACTCACCCATCTTGCAGCGACACTGGGGTGTAGAGGCAGCAGCGGCAATAGCAATAGCATCAAGAGAGCAGCAGCCGGTCGATTTGTGCGCAACAAGCGCGTCGACGCAATCAAAGAGGCGCCGACACTGACCACAAATGAGGATGTCCTCGCCAATGCAGGAGGAGGAAGACGAGGCGGCAGCAGTAGTAGCAGCAGCAGTCGGTGTAACAGAAATTGTCGTCGTTGTCGTCGTCGCCGTTGATGGTGATGCTGCCGCTGTCGCAGAAGTGGGAACACGTGTTGTATCCTCACCCTCACTTGATGTAACTACGTGAAAAAAGAGGCGCCTACTTTTAAGGACATCTTAAGCGCCATCCAGGTAGTTACTTTAACAGTACATACCCTGCTATGAATGGAACGACCAACGAGAATGACAAAAGTGATATAGGCAAACACTAGCAGAGCAGATGAAGTAGAACATCTGTGACTCCCTTCAGACCCCATACAAGGGCTTAACGAAATTACTCAGTAACCAGATATTTGGCTTGAAAGAAAGAAACGCAACTTAGACGTCATATCACTTAGACTATCTACACCTTCGCAAATCAGCTCGCGGCAAATCAAGTAACTCCAGCTGTTCTGCTGGCGCATGTAAAAAATCGTTGAAAGCACTTTCGATAACAACCAATGAGAAATACCACTGAGCTATAATTAGTAAAGGTCAAATGAAAAGTGGTCAGACAACTAATAACTTAAAGGCGTCTGCTACTGAACGCCAGGGCAGTAAAAATGAACCACGATAGAATTCATTGCCTTGGTTAGGTTTTAAACTCTATTTGACAAACGGCTATGTACTCTAAAATTCAACTAACGGACAAAACCACAGATATTTACGAAAATGAAAAAAAAGGCTTACTTGATTGCAAATCAAAGCCATTGTCAACTGTCATGCCAGAGAGCTTGTCAGAGATGACTGAATCATTGGCATTATTTCTTTTTTTAGAAACAGATGACGAGGATTCGCCAGAGGCAGTGGACTTAGGGGAGATGCTTCCCCGTTTCGATGCTATCAAAGGTACGAGGTTTGTTGATCTATTGCTGCCCGTAGAAGAAGGCCCAACCTGAGGATTCTCTAATCGAGTTCTTTTTGCAGTAGAGGCCGACGACTGCGGATGCGAAATACGACGATGGTGTGGTTGACGCGACGAGGTTGCGAACGACAACTTCGGCATTTTCGGAGCAGTGTTTAATAAAGGATTGCCAAAAATACCGGGCATATTAAAGCCAACTGTAGAAGGACTGTTAGTACTGCTGTTGTTGTAGCGATACTGCTGGTGATGATTCATAAAACCCAGCTGTGAAAACTGACCACCAATGGCAGCTAGTGCTTGATTTTGCAGGGCTAGTTCGACCAGGTTGGGTTGATTACTACATGAAATCAAAAGATAATAACGGCAAAAAATGGGAGGCAATATTGTTAAGAAAGCTTACCAAAAAGTATTTCCAGCATTAGGACGCCCACGCTTGCGGTTTTTGGGTTCAGACGCTATGGTAACGTCTACGATAAAATCCATCCAAAATGCAAAGAAAAAAGAGGAGATCACAGTGCAAAGAACGTCAGATCCATTAAAAATTAAAAAGTGTATACTTCTGTAAAAATCAAGAGAATGAAAAGGAAAAAAGTACGGAAAGCAGAAGAAAAAAGTGATCTAATTGGATGGAGTGATTGCGAGGACAAAGAGGGTCGATGTCTGATTACCTAGCTCCATGCCATAGTAAGTCTTTCCATCCTCCCCACGCACTGCTAACCGTGCATGCATTTCGTGAGCATATTGGACAAAGGCATAGCCCTTATGTACCGAAATGCCAATTATATTACCGTATTTCAAAAAAATGGCTTCCAGCTCGGGCTTTTGAATATGAAGTGTGTTAAGATTCCCAACAAACACCCGAGACTTCAAGCTAATTGGATCCATTCGATTAGTAATGTTGCTGACGCCAATCATCTTTCAGAAAAAAACAAAAAATGCAGTCAATGTTGAAGAGCATCCAAAGCAAGTGACAAATTTAAACAATAACGCGTGAAAAGGCTTTCATATAAAACATTGTCTCGCATACAAATCAATAAATTCAGAAAGATTCAACAATATACATAGTTGCTGAATGCTCTTTACTAATCCAATTTAAAAAGATTTATCTAGGCTGCGTGTACAGATATCTGATATCGTCTATCATGAGATACAAAATTGAACTGAGTTTGAATTTTCATTAATACTTACAACATATAAAGCGTTTGAACATATTCAACTGTTTTCAATAACCGCTTTTTAAAATCCACATTGTGGAACCTCCCTACCCATTCTCAGCCTCCTGAGCATTGAACTTCAGAAGGACATTGGCTGAGGAAGCCTTATTAAGCATCATGTAGAAAGAAAGCAAATGGGGAAGGATTGAAAAGATGTCAACTCAAAGTCGACCCGAGAACATCTACCCAGGCCACACGAAATCTGATTTTCTGTTCAAGGTGGTATCCCTACTTTCCGATCTAGAGTTCGACTTATATGCACTAATAGAATCTGCATACATTGTATCATTGAGACTTTTTTCGATTAGTCTAAAAGCCAATCATTTCATAGTAAATATGGTTAGCAACGGTTGCATTTTAAAAATATTCATTAAATTAAATTAAAATGTTATAAGTAAAAAGTTTGATAAAGTATTTCAACGTTTACAAGTTATTTTGCTTGTTAATTTATATCAGGCATCTTTTTAACTGTCAGCTGAAGAATTCAAGGTTAGATTGGCAGAGTTTGAAATGGATCGGCAGGTTTATCAACCTACTTATGAAAGGGAGGATCCAGCAAAAGATCGTCTTAAATACAATCCTGTTTTTCTTCGAGATAAACATGGCATTTTCAAGATCACTGAGGTGCGTTTTCTGCGCCTATGTATATTAAAGTGTTGGCTTCTCATTATAAGTTTTGCACTTTAACCACGATAGATTCTTCCGTCGCTATTTGGTACTACTTCACGTCATTTTTTGTACGAAATTTTGGCCTCTGACGTATATTCCTATTTCACGACGGGTTGTAGCCTTTCTTTTAATTTTTTCCAGCATTTGTAACCAGATATTTCACTTTTGTTTTCAGATAATTTTGACGATTTGCGCCTTCATTTCTGTTGGATCACACTTTGCTTTTCGAGACAGTGGTTCGGGCGGATGGATAAACTTCACTCTTTCGCTGTCTCTCATAATATCCCTGTTTTTCTTCTTCGGGTACCTTTTCAACCTCATCCCCTTTCTTCCTGGACCATGGGCTGTTATTGTAAGCTCCCGAGTTTTTTTCATCATGACATCTAAATGATGTTACACTTGTGAGGCGTTCGATGTTTTGCATTTATATTCGTCAGCATTGCAGTTATTTTCTATGCAAAGTAGCACATGTGAATGGCATGTGCATGTGCTCGCCTAGCTCAATATTTGCACATTTGTCCGATTTCGGTGCTCTTTCCGAATGAATAAAAGGAAATTAAATGGGGTAGGATCTTTTGTCGTCTGCTGCAGCCTTCTTTGCGCATAACACTGATTCTGCGTGTATTTGTCAGTTCTGCATCGTATGTTCACACATTCAATGACCTGAAAGTAGGACTACTGGAACTCGCACCTAAAAAATGTAGGAAACCATGTCCTCGTTAAAGGCTGGGGTGCGGAAGGAGAATATTGCTCTGATCTCTTTTTTACTTTAAAGCGTTTTTCTGGGCGATCGATTGACGTTGTCTATTTCTGACTAATTAAATACTCATTCACGGCCGCTAGTGCATGTGTGAATGGTACTGTGTGCGTGCGTGCATGTCTGTGTGGTTTTTTATTGGATTTATGCTACAATGCGTGTATGTGCACAACAATGCAAGTAGAGCCACTATCACTACTACTTGCGAGTGGTGCCATTGGTGATGGTGATACCTGCATCCTCCGCCATTTCCTCGATGTGCTGGTGTGTGTTCAGGGTCAACTGCATTGACCAATATTAATGAGCGTGCGTGTGTGTGCGTGCATGCATGCGTGCATGTGGTAAGGTGAAAGAAGGTGGTGCGCCTGTTATTAACATTTATTCATCTGTCGTTTTCAATCGCACTCAAATTGATGTTCGAGCTTTATTCATCACTTCTCCATTTAAATGCACGTGATGAAGATCAGTTCAATTTTTTAATGATTAAAGGGCACATTATTGTGTAAAAAAGTCACGACATGATCTCCAACCCCCACTTTCCCATCGTTTTCAGAGGGTGGAGCTAATGCATTTTAATGGGACAAAAGTAGTCAGGCGAAAGCAAATATTACTGTGTCTAGTAAGAAGTGTGTTGTTTGTACTTTCATTTGACGCAATGTTTAGAATAAAGAAGGCAGATGCGTTACATATTTGGAAATCTGGTGGTTGACATGACAAACATGGCCTGTCAGGGGTGTCTGCGCATTGTTAACTTCTGCTCTAATTCCTATTGTCAACGGTAGAGGTGTTTGGTGAGGCCCTTTTGGGAATGCACTTTCTCTGCTCTGAACGGGTTTCCTTTGTGTTATTTTAAGTTCCCATAACTTGAGTAAGCCAGGAAATAAGGGGGAGCCCTATCAGTTGCCATCTGTTTTCGAAGCCCCATCTTAATGTCATCTTTAAGTCATTTCTACAATAGCTGGAGCCGCACCAATTCGCCCTTCTTAGCTGAGACAGCGGAACAAGGCAACTTTCTTGACCTTTTAATTTAAGGTGAAATAGAGACTTAGGAGTTGTTCATGTCTCGTCGAGGCGGATTGACATGCGATGTTTGTAGTTGGTGGAGAAGGAAGCATGACAAATGACTTGCCCAGAAAGTGGGACGTTGAGTTGTTTCCTTCTCTAAAATTTTAATATCTTCCTTCATCATCGTCAAGGTGGTTATAAGGTACGCTGAAAATCCGTCAAATTTCGGGTTTTTTCCCTCTTGGTTTGGTAATTTTTGAATAATTTTTTTCTTTGAGCAGGGAGTGGTTCATTCATGTCCAAAGTCCGAACTCACATCAAGTCTTTCTCCCCAAATGCCGAATGCGCTCCCATGTTTATGTTAAATGCACTCGCCGGTGTGTCTGTTCACCTGTTTTGGTGGTGTAAGGAATTTTTCCTGCGATACCCCAAACGCAGCTCTTGCCTTTGCGAACCGTGACACCTCAAGCTCTGCCTATGGGTACGTGGGGCTGCTTGCTTGACGAGAGCACTTTAATTCGGTGATCAAACACTCAACCACTGGGTCCTTGACTCACCTTCGGCACGATAGAGGTTTTGAGACCTTTCCCAATCTCCACCATTAACAGCAGTTGTTCGGGTGGTTGTAATCGTGAACCTGAAGATGGTCGTCAACATAAGCCTGCCATCGCTTCGGGCCGTCGTTGGCTCGTTGGATCAGTACTACTTCCTCTTTCAGGGGTTGGATTTGGGTTTCTTTGGCCACCTTTGGCGTCCTCGAAGGGAGTCACCTCTTGCAGCGTCGAGTACATTGCCATACTTATCCTTCTGTCTCCTCTTCATCGCGGTAACCTCGACCTATTGTAACCCTTGCGCGTGTTTTAGTGCACAATCAGGCACCACATGATGGTCTAATGCAACTGTGTTCCAGTACGAGCTTGGCATATAATTTAATGTGAAGCATCTCCAGTGGAAAGTATCATTTGGCTTCGTCTTACATCTCTCCTTCATAAGTCGGAGCTGCACATTGTTCAGATTTAAGGCCTGAGCTGCGTTTACTTCATTTGTACCCAGACATGGCAATACTTGCGGCACTTCTATCCCTCGAAAGTGGTGATGTCTCTGCCTCTGAGCTAGAAGTGTCACAGTGTTGTTGGCGAAAGGCTACTGGTGGAACTCGATGGGGGCTAAGCTGCACGGCCTGCAGCCTGTCGAGACCGTGAAGCTCCAACGTGGTTCTATTCGTAAACACATGTAAACAGCCATCAAGTCATCTCATAATACCCTTTTGGTGGTTGCTCATTTTCACCTGTTCAAGCTTTTCAACTATTCTAAAAACTAAAACTAGGGGTATGAGCGTCAATTCATTGCCTCTGCTAATTCAAGTGAATGTCTGCAAATATTGCTTCCTATGTCGCCTTGGCATCTTAACAATAAATAAGATAGGCCTGAGATATTCTTCTCCCTCTTCCTGGGTCTCTCCTATCATGTAAATGCGACGACAAGTTCTCTTTGCTTCCGTCATTTTGTTTGAATGCCTCGGTTTTTGGTATCAATTTTCCTAACTTAATCATAAAATCATGGTAGCTTAGCAATGCCTTTTTCAAAATATTCGAAGAAATCGTAGGTTTTCCCAATTAATTTGCTCATAGCAGAGCAGAAGTAGATGAGGAGCCAGGAATGTCTACCCTCGTCGCCTTATCCAACGTAGCATGATCACTTGCCCATTTCATGGCGTTGCAAAGGCAACATCTGGTCTCAAACTTCTCACTGATTGGTGGATCCTTCAACTCTGGCTTCTCACTAATTGGTGGGTTTTTGTCTCCTCCTCCTCCTCCTCAGTCGCCTGAGTTTCACTTTTCTTAGACCCACCTTTTACGGCGGCTTCAGAAGGCGAAGGCAGGGCTTATGACTCTCCAACATAGGGTCATCGTTTCGAGGACGCTTTAACCGTGACCTTTTTTAAAATAGTGCTCTCTTATTGGCCATTCCTCCTTCATCGATGTTTAGTAAGAGGTTTGGCCTTTGCCTCTGGGTTGTCCAATTCCTCATTCCACCCATGTACTTTTACAGTTCGGATGTGCTTTTGTCTGACATTGCGAGCTCCAATTTTATCAACATGAGGAAATTCTAACCAACACGTCCTTTCGCTCTACACGCTTTCCATGGTTGCCTTCCCTCTGAGGGTGACCTAAAACACCATCTGCTTAAAGTATGGTCAAAATCATTTGTGATTTTTTTTAAATTTTGCCTTGGCTTTCTTCGAGATGCCGTGCTCCGATAGCTCAGGGCTACCTTTGCTTTTAGTCAGTCAATTCGGAGTGAGGGTTTGAGAACCTCCCCGGCGTGGAGTCGGTCTATCTTTGATCCACTCAACACCTCCTCCACAAACCCCTTCTTATTTACAATGCCACTTTCGACATGACGCTTGCGTCCGTGTTTGTGGAAGGTGTTAGGATTGTCTGTCAAAGTAGAAGTTTTGCCTTTAATAATGAACTTGTTCCAGGCATTCAGCATTCACTTTGCGATACCCACTCTTGCACTTGGCAACTCAACTCTGCTGTCGAACATTGAGATGACAGGGCTGAACACGTCGGTAGCAGAGTCATTAAACAAGTCGAAACTCAAATACGAGAGAATGATTTCAGGTTATACCCAGCTACCCTGTCTTCTCTGCTTTTTCCATGGGACTTCGTGTTGCTGGTAGAGCATAGGCCGGTAAATGGCTGTCGTCTTAGCAACGCTCCACTCAAGCCATGCTTGGACTTTTGAGTTTCTGAAATGGTTGCTTGATTGGTGCTCGGAGGACAGCTTCGGTCTAGAAAGACTTGCCATTTCGACTGAAGCGCATTAGGACAGACTGGGGTGAGCTGTGCTGTAATTGAGATGCTGATGACAAGAGGGCGTAACCTCTCGGTGGCCCGGCTTAAGCGTTTGTTATTGGTGCAATCGAGTGCGTTTATATTTGGGGTTTTGCGCTCTCCTCTCTGAACCGCTTTTGTTTGGTCTAACGTGCATCAAAAATCCACCTTCCAATCGTCCATTGGTGCGCGCTTGGAGGAGGAGACGCACTGGCTGCCCCAACGGTGGCATTTTCCCCATTGATTAACGACTCTTCTCCGAGTTGTGTCATAATTGGGTTGCTGTTTTCTCCATAGGACTTTGTCTGTCAATGCCTTCTCGCCTTCCTCATCCTCATTTCGATGATTGTCGCCGCGGCATTCTCACCCTACTCCAATGCGGCTATTGCAGCAGCGGTAAGTTTTTTCTCTCCTTCAATTGGGGTCATGCCCCATAAACTTGGATGGCTCATTATTGCCATTGTCGGCTGCGAGTAGAGTGTTATGTTCCTTCTGCCAGACTCAAGATAGAGAGGAGGAAGCAGATGGAGAAACTTCTTTATGAAGACTACCTTGTGTATGCCTTGCCGAAACATAAACACGCGTCAATCCAGTGAGAAGGCTTGGATTACCCTTAAAATATTTCCAACCCCAAGGATGGGTATTATTTAACATTGTCTCCTTTGCTGCGTCAAGAATGCAGACTCTACAGAGGTATGAATTTGAAGACTCCTCTGATAACTCGTCGAGGAGGGTGCTCTGGGAATAACGTATCAACGTTAGCCTTCATGTGCTCGCTCGCAGCTTGTGATGGTCGTAAAGGCCACTGGGTGACACTTACACAAGCCAGTCTACCTCAAAGCCTAGCGGGTTAGTTAAAGGAAGGGCATTAGACTTACTGTTTGATTCATAGAAAGAAACAAACAATGGCGCATGCCTACTTCATACTCTCCCCAAGGTGACGTGTTGGTATCAAGTTTTATCTCAACGTCTTTCCCTTGGTGATACTTAGAAGTAGGTAATAATAACGCTTGCAGAAAGAGTCTTCATAAAACCACTCTTGATGAGTCGACTTGCGTTTTGCAGTGGGTTGAGGGGGTGGGAGCGAGGGGGAACGAGTGGCTCATTTCATACCCTTTCAAGCCATGCTTTTCACCCTCTGTTCTGCCGTCAGACATGTCGAACAGTACAAACAGACAACTTGGAGGTGATCTGTTATTATTATTTTTTCTCTCTCGCTAGCCTTTAATTTGCCACATTTCGGGTTATGTTACCTTTCTGGTGGCCTGGTTCTGTCCGACTCGTTTGGTTGTCCAAATAGTGGTTTTCTCGCTTACTTCATACAACTTGCAGAAATTTGTGTGTGTGTGTGTGTGTGTGAGGGCTAGAGTTAAGATGGAGACTTTGCCGAACATTTTGCAACAACTCTGACCCCAGCATGGTCGCGTGAAGTAGCGCCGCACTCCTAACAGACTGTTTGTTCGGCTTAAAAAATCGGTTACTTTTCATGGAACACCTTGACAACCATTTTTTATGATGGCCAATCGTTGATTGTGGGTGAGATTGGAGCGGTTTAAACGACCTCAGGAACAGAGATGCCTTTCACTGATAGCCTGTTGTTTGATGAGTGGATTAAAGGCCCGTGACAGTTGGGAGGCGATTAAGAGAGTCTCCTGTGATGATCTCTTCAAATCGCCATCGTCTGCCTTTGCATCTTCGTTGAGTACTGAGAGTTAATGGATGTGCGAAACGGATCTCTCACTTTGTGCTGTTCGATGAACAGTCGTACCAGTCATTCAGACGGAAATGGGGATGAAAGCAACTTCCTGTATTTTTTTTTCCAGATTTAGCCATAAAGCGGAAATTTGTGAAACGCCTTTAGCATTTTTTTTTGCATTATGATGAGATCCATCCATCCATCGCCACGCAGCTTGTGTTGGGCTACCGTTACGGGTTGCTAAGGTGGATTCTTCTTCACAGTCCTGACAGGTTGTTATTGAGGGAAGCGTGCATTTGCCTTCAAAGTTGCACACTTGCTAAGCCTATGTGGGGCTGTTGGGGAGCGTTTTGGAGACTGTAGACTAGTTCCGCCTTTTCTTCCCCAACAGTCAGTCATCTACGCCATGGGAAGTTTTGAAGCGTATGAACGCCAAGGAAGAGGCTAAATGGCATCGTTTTCTCCTTTCTTGCCTCCTCTTTTCACACCACTCTTGCGTCGTCGTGCTGTTGAAGCGTATGCCGTTTTGTAGTCACAGAGCGGCACGCCAATGTGAGTCAGGGGAAGGTTTTAAGTGACTTTGCGTCGCGATGGCGTCACAACGTCACTCTATCGCCATTTGGCGGAAATGTGAAATGTAACGCCTTCATGAAGCTGGTCACTCCTTGGGTTAGCAAGCCTGTCTGGAAAATTCATTTTGCGACAGGTCAAGCTGTCACTGCGGTAGCTGACGAGGCACAAAGGGTCGCCAGCACTTTTCATGCCTCAGCATGCTCCACTGACGCTTGTTTCAATAAGGTGGATTGTAGTCATCATGCCCATGTGGTTCGGGCAACACTTGAAGGCCTTGTAATTTAACCAAAGGAAATGGAAGACGTCAACATTGCCTGGAAATGTGACGGAGGATGGAGGATTGGTCCGCCTCTCTCTCTCTCTCTCTCAGTTGCCCCTTTTCTTCTCCTCCCAACAGGTGTTCTGTGCATTCTTGTCATTTTGCTACCTCATTGAAACGTTGATGCGATTCTCCGTGAAACGCGAGGGCGATAGAATGGTTATTGCCACTCATGGCGTCTTTCGGAGCAGCGCATCTGGCGGCGCTGACTTCCAACGAGCGCCCACAGACCCCGCTACCGATGGTTACGGAATGCCCTGAAACACCTCCAATCTGAGACGGAATTAAAATCTTTAGGTTTTTTTTTCTAATCTTTCTTCACTTCCCTCGTCTATCCAACCATTCATCTACCCAACTTGACTGTCTACTCATTTACTTACTTACTAATCTTTCTCGGTTTTTCCCCTTTCCATTTCCATTCGCCTCTACCATTTATCGCTTCCACGATCGGAACAATACGGCCAAGGAGGCTGGGTGTGTTTATAGTCGTGCATGAACACGTCAATCCGCATACTCCCACATCCCGTTAATGTCGTTGAAGTTGTTGTTTATTTTTATTTCTTTTCCTATCATTTCTTTATTCTGAGTTTCTCAATGCTGCTTATTTATCCCTTCTCTTCTCCCTCACCTTGTCGTTTCGTTGGTCGTCACCTCATCGTGATTTGCTTAACATTATTCGATGATGATGAGCGCAAAGCAATAAATCCGACCTTTGTTTTTTTTCTTCTCTTTTTGGTCCATTCCTGTCTTCCCCCCACTTCCACGACTAGTTCGGGTGTGCTACGGATGCGACTCTGCTTCAGGGATGGTATTCCTGGTCATCTGTGGGGGCGGAGATGCTCAACTCACACGAGTTGTCATTTAACCATCGACTAACACGACAACGGATGCTGATCAGGCCTTTGGTAAAGGTGGCACACCCATTGAATTAGGTTCCTTGCACAGTGCAACTTGGAGGCGAATAAACTATTCAACACTAACGTGTTTATTCTTGAAGATGGTTGATAGCATCACAAAATTTACACGCCAAGCAAGAGTCGTCCATCACCATTCATGGGGAGTCGAGTTGTGGTTTGTCTTTCTCCGATTCCTTTTATTGTCAGCTCAGTGTGAGGTGCGTCACTTTTACGGCTGATGCTGTACCAGTCCTGTCTGTTCCGAAATGCTGTGAACAGACTACTTGAGCAATCTGCTATAGCAGGCACATTCTGAGCCTGCAAAGTAGGTAGAAGTGCTCATGACGTTGCAAGTGGAGTTATACCAATACAGAGCGGTGGTTGGCGCCTCAAAGATCTCATGGATACAAATTTGATTAGTTTGGCAGTCATTGTTTGCTGCAGACTTGGCAGGTTGTCGTGATAGCCTGCGCGAATGTGCATGCCACAACGACGCTTGCATTGCCTGCACCAGCCACGGCATTTCACAAGGCACATCGACGAAATGGAAGCTCGAGCGCCCTCTGCGTAGTCGCATTAGGGTGCTCGCTCCAAAGGAAGTAGAAGTGGCACTTTGTAAAACAAAATTCTCACTGAATGTAAAGGAACAGCAGATTGGTGGCGCATTTGATACCACAAGCTCAAACGCAAACAAACAAGTCGAATATCCGCCTAGCCGCGCTGATTGTAGTCAAAATAAACAAATAACTGACGAGTTATTCCGCTGCCTACGGTATTCAAGCGGGCCACAATCTCGGTCTGCTGGTGGCAGTGATATTTTTAGGCATCAGGCAGCCATAGAAGGCACGGCAGGCACATTAAAGGCTAATGCAACGGAGTTTTCTGATGGTGTAAAATACACATTTTTTTAATTCTCTTCCTGGCATGACTGCCTGTGCTCCGCCACACAAAGCCTACAACAGTGGAAACCTGCTCTTTGAAGGGTGCTGTGATGAATGCCATCAATGGTGATCTCGACGACTGTTGCTTGCACCGAGCAGTGCATGAAACCGTTAATTTGGTTGGCAAAGCGGAAAAAGTAATTGCAGAAGCTGCGAAATTATTTTTGTTTACGTGTTGCAAGGCCAAACATCATATTTTTAGACCTGAGCGATGGAAGTTACCGAACCAAATTCACGCCCATCAACACGAGGAGAAAAGCATGGAAGCAAATTGACAAGGACGCACCCTCGAGCATAAAAATCCAACCAGTTGTCAAGTCGTTCATTCCAAGTGATGGATGTAGAACAGTGGGCTATTAGGAGCGTGGCCGATTGGTGACGCTTGTGAAGGTGGACGGCAAAGTGCAATCGATGTCACTAAGCCCTTCCACACACAAGCGAAACAAGAACTGCAAAGTGGTAATTTTTATTTGCTCTTGTAAGACTACCAAATAATGGGGAGTGCAAGAAAAAGGGCACAAGGAACAAGTAACGTTGCAAGACCCTCCATGAGGGAGGGGACGAGGAACTCGGAACAGAGCAGTTAGGAATCGCAGTAGTTGCGTTTTGGGTGAGAGTTTTGATCTGTGTCAGGTAGGACATACCTTTAAGTTCTCCCTTCCCCCCGGTAGGGACACAGATCCCTGTTATTGGCTGTAGTGCGTCAAAATTCGCTACAACTTTGGCGAGAAATGGAGCAAAGTAGAAGTTCCCATCGTGAAATAACGAAATTATGAAGTCATTGGCGTCATAAGGTGTGGACAGGACCACCTCTATTTGTGTCTCAAGCCTATTTTAATGCGAGCAACCAAAGAAACGCGATAACGTACTGCCGTCTAAAGGCACTCCTGACTACATATTTAAACGACAGTTTGGAGTGCATAGAATTGGCTCAACTTTCATAACGCAAAATTGTTACAACAAAGTGTAGGTTAAACTTGTTATACTTTGCTTATGCGAGTGCATGACATTTGGCGGTCACTTCAAGAATTGTCTTGCCCTTGCACTCGCGGACTGGCCTTCGGGCCACGCTCAGGCCCCGTTGCTGCGTCCTCCGTGGGATGCCTGCATCCAGCCTCCACCTTCTGCCTCCTTCCACTCTGTGGGAAGTCTCGGGACGCTACAAAACCATTCATTTTTGCCCTTCTAAGTGCATTTATGATAATAATCTTATAATCTATTTTAGGCAATTACAAAATCTGTTGCACCCTTAGCTACGTGTGGAAAACGCAGTTGAAATGTAAAATATACCTAATAAGGTATTTATAGTACAAAAATCAACTCCATATTTTTGAAGTCTGTGGCTTGCATTTTTAGAATGAAGTCAGTGAGGTGCAGCCTGATAGGTGTGGCGCTTCTACATCGCCGCATAACTGGTAGTTTGCTAATATCGCAGCCAAAAGGGCATGTGTCGTGGTTACATAGCCTGGCATTTGATGCTGGGGTGCTTGCACATTTTAATACCTGTCGCAGAGTCTCCCCTTCCCTCCACCCTTTCTCCCTCCCGTCCGAGAGACACAAGCTGAGGTTTAGCCACAGGGGCCTTTTGGGATTTGCTTGCATAACTTTTTCACGGACCGGAATGTCAAACTGTCATACCGACCTCGTAAACGCTACAAGTTTAAAAGGAACTTGACGGGTCTGCCCTTTGAGTTACTTTTGTGGGCTCAATTCCTTTTTAGGCCAGAAGCAACGTCTTTGCCGGCTGCTCCAATGTGCAAACACTAACGATGATGAGGCTGCACAAATGTGATCGCTTCACAACCAAGGTGTATGTTTGCTCGAATATTGCCAGTTGAACAAAATATTTTTAATTTACTTGTTTCCACAGACCTCTATCGTCTAGTCAGACGTTTTTGCTACCTCTCGCATCGCACACTTCCTTGTTTACTTAATTTAGTTTTGCTGTTCAGCCTTCCGCTCTGAGCATTTTATCCTGACTGTATGAAGAAAAGTGGGCACTCTCAAGCATGTCAGTCAACTATCCTCTTACATAGTGGTCAAAGCGAAAAAAAGACGTCTTTACAAATCATAATAATTAAGAAGCCATGGCTTTCCAAGACCTTAGGTGGAGCTGAATGTATGCATTATAGGGAGATTAAAGAGATAAAGCCTGAGCTCAACCCGAAGGCCAGCCATGCGCACAAGGGTCAGACGAATTCTAAAGTAAACGTTGGACACCAGGTGACCGCATAAACAAGGTGTTACAAAAAAACGGGCATTTTGGGTCGATTCGTCCATTAATTCGCTGTGTGGACTCCATTAGATAATCAGCATGTTGACTCTACGATCCTCTGCCGGAAAATTCTTTGGCTTTGTGGTAGGTAGGTAAGCATGTCTTCTGAATGAGCCCAGAAGCTAGGATCCACCAAGACGCCATTAACAAGTGATATAAGGGTGACTTTCTTAGGGACTCAAAACCGTTGTCGTTCACAGAACCAGTAGATAATGTAAGAAATGTTTATAGATCTGATCCTTAAATCATCCATGACGCCCAGTGCTTAGATAGGGAGGGTCACGCGGTTCTTTAATTTTTAATAAAGGTAAACGAGAGGGCGATGCTCGAACAGTATATGCCAGATGTAATTTTACTCTGACACTAATGAGTGTGCTTAATCGCTCATCTCGACAAACATTTTACCATTGCACAGTACGGGTCTTAAACATTTGTTTTGGTCACCATCTGGCAGCCTTCAGTTCACGATTTACCGTCAAGTCCTCGCTTTTTACGCCACCTAACCAACGCGAGCTCTTGTCTTCAAGTGAAGCTGTTTATCTGTGCTACCATGTTATTTTCAGTTCAGCAATGATGCTCGTTGATGTGATATGGCAAAGTTAGGGTCACGGTTAATCACATGATACCTCGGTGGACCAATCAGGAAACGACGTCAAAAGCGTCTGTAATGCACGCACATGTTATCGATCGGCGCAGTGATTGGCCACCCAGTTAAATGGCCACCTAAATGAAGGTCTCAAAGTAGTCAAATACAATGGATGAATCTACGCTAAAATAATGTGTGAAAGTGGTCGAGAGTTTTGCACATTTTTGGTAAATGAGACGATTGATGCACCTTTTCCCTCTTACTTTATTGGCAGCATTATTGGGTATCGGTCAATCGGTAAAACACTCGGGCCAATTACTGTTTCTTGCAAACTTTCTAATAATTTTTAATTATGCATAGGAAAGTCCTGATGAATGCTGCATGATTGACAGAACCCATGGCACAGTGGAGTTGGGCATACTGGGGGGGTCCAGACGTGAGCTCGCCCTGGGAAAGATGCAATGAGAGGAATACAAAGTGGGTCTTTCCTCAATACGGACAACTAAATTAACGTCTAAGCTACCACGATAACTCCACACCCTTCAGGTGGACTAAATTGCAACCTTAAATACATATAACATCATTGGTTCCGCTCAGGACATTCGAATGGTAATCCGCCCATCCATCCTTAAATACATATACTTAGCTGGAGGGAAAGACTACAAAACGACCACATTCCTTTCTTCACCTGTCAACTGAGCACATCGTCTGAGGCAGCCGTGTGGCATTGTGCTCCATCATGAAAAAACGCTCATCCCTGCCACTCAACAACTGCGTGATAACGTGTTAAGGTAAAAATGCTTCCTTTTTCCAGTATTGGGACATCCCAAAAGGGAGAAATTTACCGTCCAGATTTTTTAAATCATCCGCAATGGGTATGATTAAGCGAATGCGGTTGTGGTGCTTGTCCGCCTACTGGACCGCCAGGTAGTAGAGACCGCTGGACTGAGTCATCTGGCAGACCCTTTCGCAATTGGCCGCAGTGACTGGCAGACCACTAGATTGTTGGTACATTTTGATCTCATCCCAGTTGACCATGAATAAGAGGATTGAGAAAATAGGTATAAGAATTAAAACTCCCTGGATGTCGAATAAAGGTGCCTTTTTTCATCCGAGGGGGCCTTCAGACACCTCACAACAGGTTCCCGAAATGGCGCCATCCTGACCACTTTGAAATTTCAGCAGGAACTTAGTAGAAACGGTCACACAACTGTCGAACATTCAGTGATGCAGAGGAGGAGCCAAGACATCGTTGCATTTTCGCATTGTCTGACTATTCCCGAGTGGTACCACACTAGTCGCCTGTGGGAGGTCACACAGGTACGCTCAAGGGCGCACCTCCCTACAAATAAGATGCGAAATCGGTGTTGGGAAGAGAACGAATAGAACATGGGAGAGTGGGTGCAGAGAAGCGAAGTTCAGGTCACGCAAGAGCCCTACAATTTGTGTGTTCAAGAGCTAATTTGGTGGAGAAATAGGAGTACAGAATGGTCCTTGCGTTCATTTGTCTCCTTGGTATATTGGTACAAATCTCAGGGGCAATTCAAGAAAAATATGTACCCCAAAACCATCTAGAAGGTTTAAGACACTGAAAACTTGGACATTTCCGGTAGTTTCTTTGCATGAACTCCCTAGAAGTCACACTTTCTACTAGGCCTTGGATATTGAAGAACAGTGACGTCACGTCTGGGTTCACTTTGGCGGTCGGGGGTGGGATGGAGGAAGAAATTCCACTCCTGAGAGTCCTTCTCTCCATTCTACTCTGCGGATCCGTAATTATGCAAGCAAATCATTTTGTATGACAGAGCAGAACAGAGAATCGAGAAAGGAAGAGCCTTTGAAGGACCATCACATTGCGTGGGACTTTGATCCCAACATTTGTGGGTTTAGTGATTTGTCCTCCTCTGTAAATTGCAGTTACGACAGAAAGGTTCATTGACCATTGCGAATGACCGACTATTGGTAACTGTGCTGCAATGAAATGGACTTCAACCTTGACTTCTGTGAGGATCATCGTTAAAATGGTGGGGAGAGAGAGGAAAAAGGCACAATTCTCCGTAAATGCGAAGGTGCATGGCGGAGGCATAATTACCGTAAGGAACGGCGAATTCCACTCCTCATCCAATCAGCAAAGCAACTACCCCCGTAGGCAACGGAGTCGAGAGGAACAGCTTGGAACTATTTGAGGCCTCTTGTCGCCTGGAAATTGTTGAAATCCGATTTCAGCGTATCCGATGGCTCCTACTGCGGGTCACACAGTTGATAGAGATGTCAAATAAATGCTGCCGTACTGACATTGGTGTGAGGCGTTTCTATGAGATGGGATTGATGGCCACAGAATCCATCTTGCAGGCATACCTATCGCGGAGAGGGAAAGAGGGGGTGACTATTTGCAGCAGAGGGGACAAATCCCAATGCGGGGGATTTTTTCAGCTTTTTATTTTATCAGCACTGTATCCAGAAAGTCGCAGTCTCACTTCCACTTTTCTGATTGGTGAAGCACCTCGTTGTGTGCATTCAAAGACAGCTAAAAAAGCAGACGAATGCGGGAGCCCTTTAGAGCATTGACCATGGCGACCAAGTAGGCGTAGTTCCACGATGTACTCAGTTTGACGAGGCTACGTTTCCACATTCCTGAAGCATTTAAAGAGTTGAGCCAAGAATGCCCCGTACATGGCCCATCTGGAGGGCGCCTGGCGAACACTCGAGCCGCACGAACTGTGCGACTTCAGTTTATAGCATCGGCCATCGCCCTGCATGGTTCGGCACCCACAGTTTGTGAATTCAGCCCTCAACTTTACAGAGGCAATCAGTCTTCACAAAATTGAATCAGTTTTCACAAAGTAGTAGCTGCAAGCTTACTGTTGTACCAAGTGACTTCTCCTTGCCCCGGAGATGCGAACAGCCCCCTCCCCCCCACCTTTACTAACATTACATGCAGGTATACAGCTAAATTCAGTCATCAATCCCTCCTTAGCACTCCTATTGTCTTTACTCATTAATCCAAGAACACTGGGTCGACGGTGAGTTGACAAACGTAGAGGAGATGTGGCAAACATGTGACTACTCATTCATCTTATTTTGCATACGGACACTAAGAGACGCAGTTGACAGAGTTAATCTGACACCTCAGAATTGATCTCGACCAAAAAAACATCACAGACGTCTGATGGCCATCAAAGCGGCAACGATATTAATTGTGCGAGTGATGTGCGCTTCTCATTTCTCAAAAGCCTTGAAGCACTTCTACCAAACCTCCAACAAGACAAATATGGGTTCGGACCATGACTTTGCACGTTGGCGAGGATGGTGCTGAAGGCGACCGGCAACAGAGGAGGAAACGCTCGAAAATCAATGGGGAAGCGTGAGTCTTTTGAGCCCAGATTTAATTTGTGTTAACGATATACCCTTGAATCAGATGGTAGTGCTTTTCATCCCCACAATTTTACGTTACAGACGGACGCAAACCAGAGTAGCACCAAAACTCAAGACGCCTTCTAATAAACAAATAAAACACCTTCAAATTTGTATGAAGTGACCACCACTCGAACAACGCCCACTCATCTTTACTGCCTCAAAGGCTCTACATTGTTACACTGCTCCCTCCAGCCGTACTCATCGTACCAGTGAGGCTTTAAGAGCTATTCCGCTTCCACAATGCCGATGAAGTGACCTCGCCACTCTCTCACCTTCCCTCTTGTACTATGAGCGACTCACCCTCCTGCGGAGCCTGATTCCAACCGCGCCTCTCAATGTGGCAAGCAGAGCCTTTGACTCCCGGAAACAAGCACTACTTTCCACAATTCAGTAACAAGTCCTAAGGGTTGGGAGGACATCTTAGATCTCTCAAAGCATGGCGCTGCTACAGCCCCTATTTTGCTGAAATTGGTCTTTCAAATAAAGATGTGGAATGTGGAAAACGCACAGCACCCACTTCAAGGTAACTTGGCCAGACCCAACTTCCCATCACCGCCTCGTTGATAAGTCTGGCATAAGCTCAATTCTATGATGGTTTTGGAATGACCTCTCTTTCCAAGACATAATGCGTAGGAAAAAGCGGAAGCAGAGCAGACTTTATTTAGGCTGGCCTCCTTGTATAAAAACGACCCCAACCGCCAAGACCATAAATGGAATATGGCACTCCAAATGCAATCAGCAGAAATCAAGGGTCTTCTTAATCATTGTAAACGAAATTGAATCTAGAAGTCAACACAAAAAAATTCGTGAAGAAATCCAAGAAAGTTCAAGATAACATTTTGAAAGCATGGTTATAAATTATGGGCTATGACTGGCTCTAACGACTCCCAAAGGGTTGCCACTAAATGGACTTATCCCTTCCAAATACAATAGACAAGGGATGACATAGATTCGCCGATGTATATAATATGAAAGGCAGTTAGATGCTTTGCGACTTCAAACTAGGAAGCTCTGCTAATCAAGTTATTTCAGTATCTGCGTCCTCGGTCAGGTGTGGTATAGACAAATTGAACAAGTCCAAACGTAAATCCGTAAAAATAAACACCAGAAATACCTATAAAATTTACAGATTATTACCGACTGAGGACCTGCGGAAGAGACGAGATGATGGGTCCATAGGCACGAGAGTTATCAAAAAGCTCGAACAGAGGAGCTGCCACCAACTGATAGTTCGATGGCACTGCAAAAAGAGTCTTTTCAGGAAGTTGGATCAGGTAGAGTCGAGTGTGCTCCTTCGGCTTCGTCACATGAGCAGGAATGTAGGGATATCGCGGAGGCTCGAAATTCGGCCTCCACCAATTACCAATACATTCTTCTGGAGTCCATTCCACTGGCACTCCATCTGTTCTTCCCAACATCTGCAAAACATGGTAAGAAAATCTAGATACACACAGAACTAATAAGTCTCGTTTCAACAAGAAATCTCGCTCACATCTGAAAGCAGTCTCTTCAGACCCTCCATTTCTTCCTCTCCAGGATGTAATTCACCACCAGGAAGTTTGAAAAATGTTCCCAATTGAAGAAGAAGGACATGTGGGAGGTTATGCTCATGAACAAGAAGAACACCCTCAACAGAATGTCTCATTCCATACTTTTCGAAATCCTCTTGGAGACGTTGAAACCGCGCCGGTACGCTACGATCACGTTCATAATTAGGCTCCTTTTTTCCAAAACTGTAACTTTTCAGAGGGTATCTAGACGTTCAAGGTCATGTGAGTAGGTTATTGGCAGGAAGGTTAACATAAGCAAATAAAGGGACAGATGTGTACATTCGGGGAACTAAAGACACGAGAAAACCATTGGAATACCAATGATTGAAGAGAGCTATTGGTCTAGATGGTACAATGCATTCTCAGAATACAGGTGGATTAGAAGACGATCGCCCAAGATACAACTTGAATTACAGATGAATACTCGAACAGGACCAAATCATCAGGGAACGTACAAAGGTATTGTCTTAGAAGCTGGTGCAGGATGCAAAAATTTCTCAGCTGTTCCACGAGGCCAACCCGTCAGATGCATTTCAAATTCCGGCGGCAATCATATAAGGCTCTCACCACTTGCACCTCACGAAAACAAACACGCAAAATATCCATCAAAAGATAAAGATACAAGCAAATCGCCCAGACCATCGCATTTTAGGGCTACATTTCAGGTTCGTTTCCTGATTTTTGCAAGTTCGTTATTTTGCCAGTTCGATTGAGATATGAATTTGAGTAGCGTAATCATCGATTTTAAATGCACTTCTCAAAATACTGCCACATTTAACCCCTGCTTACTTCATTGCATACCATTGAAATTAAATATCTTAAAAGTAATTAGTGACACTTATGTGGCTATAAGGCAAATGAAGTTAATTATGCGTATTCCAGTTCATTTTTCGAAGCGCTGTATTGTTGTAAAGTTTGTGATGTAGTACTTGAGTCGTTAGACTGTGCATCGCTTAGACTGTATCACGTCTGCAGTTGTATTGTTTCTGTTAGGTGGGGTAGCCTCCGAGTTGTCTAAAAGGCGTTTCCAATTCTTTTGGTCTGATTATATGCCTTCGGTCAGTAACACTATAGAACGAGAGACTAATTATTAAATCCTTATATTATTTTGGAACTAATTTGCTCCCTACCAATTATTAGTAAAGAGCACTTTCTAACAAAATTATTTTATGACATGTCGGTAGAAATTGGTTATTTACTTCAAAATCAAAATATATTTACATCGTCTTGGATATTGTCTCCCAAAACGGTGACACATAAACGCATAAACAGTATATTGTACTGAGATTTCACATTGGATTGTAGGAGACATTGATTAGGGATAAATGGATATATTCAGTGAGAAGTATTTGAGGTTGGACTTTGGCGTGGTCCACAGACGGTCCTACTCAGTCAATATACATACACATATATACATTACGCTGACTCTCATTCACCAGTTTGATTTTATAAACAAGTATCTGATTTTTCCCACTTGGGTTTGTTTTTTACTTCAGGTGAACTCTTGCTGTTTAGGGCATATCGAGGTGCACTCTAAGTTTGAATCTCGCCTAACATCCCGTTATCGTCGCCCCATCGCTACTGCCAGTGATACTGGCTCCGAACAGCATTATTTCTTCAGAAGAAATGATTTTTGATTTACAACTTCATTTCGACGCTCTATTATGTTTTTGACGTTTGCATTCACACATTACAAGATGGAAACATTTCGCAATAACATCCTTTGCAACTATGCTTTCCTGTATCAATCTATATTCAGTGCACCAGAAAAGGTTCCCTTTTTGCATGCATTTTCTATAAGATGTGGTCATCATAGCTTAAAGTAAAGCAATGGAAAGTAGGCTGTTTTTTATTGAAGCATAAAATTGTTCAACATTTATATTCGTTTAGATGTTCCCTAGGCCTAAGTAAAACTGCACTAAAAGTAGATCTGCCTAGTACATAGAAGAGGGTTTTTATATCATCTCCATTCTTACAAGCATAGAAAGCATGATTTCCTTTTCCTTCTTTGATATTAACTTTTAGTTTTGGCCGGTACCAATTCGCGTGCTGGAATGTCACAAGTTGCCCTTCTTTCCCGTAAACGCAAAGTGCATTGGGTGGACTTTGGCGCCCATCGTTTGAGGCAAAAGATGGTGTGATGTGTTGCATTATCACGAGATTGTTTTGACTGCACTTTACGGAGACTGATTCTTCATTTAGAGAGGCACTATTCTTGTCCACTATGGAGTTAATCAGACGGTTTCTGATGCTATGCGTTGCATCAAGACCATGCAGTTCCTCCTGACAGAAGAGTCTGCACGAACAACTCTCACTAAGTTGGAGGATAGTTGTACTTCTAGCCACTGTACGTCGTCATACATTCTGCGCGCCTTATTAATGGAACTAGGCCACCTCATTTCTACCTTAAACGGGCTTTTTAGTCCATATCACATGCAGGTACAATCGCTTTATTTTCTTGTTGATGGGTTTCATCCAAGTGTGCGATGTGTAACGGAAGTGCAGGCCCTTTTAAATGACCCTGCCTTTCGTTAATCACATGATCCGTGACTTCAATGTAAGTATGTCGCACTTAAATCAGGCTTGAAATTGTATAGAGGTTAGTGTACCTCTAATCAGAGGAAGACTGTTTAGCCCGATGAGTTCATCAGCTTAACTGTGGCTTTATAGCTGGTGGGCGTTTTCAATAGGCCGAGTTGTAAACTGGCACATACGCTGCATTATTTACGTCAACCGATCTGTTTACGACACTTTCTGATGCAATCGGCTATCACAAACCGACACACATCCCGAATAATAAGGATGCGACGTAGTGGCTCAGCAAATGGCAATTGAATTCACATGTTATTGATAGTTGATGAGAAATCACATGCGCATCAGCATCGATGGGGCAAAATTTTAGTCTGGTTGCTCAATGCAGCTGCAAAATTTTGACAAAACTGAAGAATCTTAAGCAATTTAAGAAAAATTAAACCATTAAGGCGTACAGCAGTTGCACATAGTTATTTAGCTAATCCATCGTCTGTTTACGCAGTGTTGCGGTAACATAATCACATGGTACGTAACACTTGACCTAACCGATGGTGAATCTGCCACGCACATAAGCACAAAACCTAATTGACACTTTGTACCCGTTGCTATTCACAAACCTGCATCGTGCGCTTTGGCAGTTCGGTCGTCACTTAGCCATCTTGCATGTCAGCCAACAGTTATGGGGTTGAATGGAATGGGTGGGACGGTTTGTTAGTTTTATGTGAATAACCTGATGAAATGTACCAGATTGGAGCAATTTCGAATTTTTTCAACAGTCTAATGCAACAAAATCAAGACCTCAAATCGTATACAACCTTTGATAGCTTAAGGAGTTGGTGCCTCAAAAAAGGAACAATAATTTTGGAGTAGAAGCAGCTCTGCCGCTCAGTTGACCTTAGCATGTCTTTAAACAAACGAAATGGGCTAGCAACTAAAAGGAAATATCAAAAATAAAATATGAATGAAATAAAATAGCATTTTTTTCCACAGAGTATTCTGCTAACTTGGTAGATAACTCGCCAAAGGGGATTAGCCCCTTACTCTGTGGGTTTTAACGAACCGATTAATCGCTAAAGGGATTAACAAGCCGTTAGAGGCATGTAGCTAATGAAATGCTAATTAAGAATCCATTCATTGTTGTTTGCACGAATTATAAAGGCTAGAGCTCGTGGTAGCTGCTCCAAAACACTTCTCTTTCGCTCTCACTCGCATTCATACCAGATGCGGGTATGTTTCAAAAAATCACTTCACGAAGCTTTAACCAGATCGAGAGAATGTGGTGCTTTCTTTAAGTCAAGGTAAAGAGAAGCTACTTTTGGTGCAAACTTTCGCATGAGCTGAATAAAAAACAATTCACACTTTTTAGATCTTTCAATTCTCTACCGGAGATTGTAGACTTGGCCTTAAGCAATTTTATAACTGGTCATAGAAGTCTTCAACATGTCTTAAAATGACCTACAGCTCTCCAGACACAACACACACGATTTGCAATTGTTTATTTATGCGATTGTTTATTTTCAACATTTGATTTCTTGTGGATGAGCGAATTTACAACAAACGTCACAGATAACATTTAACTACTTCATAGTTTACTTTCCAAGGCAGATTGAAGTCAAGTTTCTTCCAAGTTTACACCACAAGGCAGTTAGATACTTCAAGATGTAAGCGAGCAGCAGATTTCTCATGTAATTCTCGTCACATTTAATGTGTTGTCTGTCGGAATGATTTCGTTTTATTGTCGTTTGAGTGTTGGGAGGGAAGCGTAGCACAGGTTAGGAGTGTTTCAAAAGAGCAATTACTTCCCCTGTTGCCACCGGAAGTAATTAATTCAACGATTGAGTCTTCTGATAACTGGGTTAGACTCAAATTGCTTGCGTAAAGTATAAAAGGCGCGAGTGATGCGTTATTCAGTGATTTCACCTTCACCATGCAGGTAGGTTACTTCTCCTTTGAAAATTTTCCCACTCTTATGGCTCTAAAAATAAAGCTGATGATGTTGGTTGTTGTGATGTAAAAAAAGGATGGCAAAGTCCTCATGCTGGTAGTGGGTCAGAGGTCCGGGTACTTTTTCTCATAAAAAGCAGCAGCTCATTCGAATAGGCAAGTCGAGCCCAGCGATACGTAGGCGCGTGCACGCGCGCGAGATTCAGAATTGTTGCAAATGCCCGGCTGTTTGGATATCACAGCCAATGAAGCGCCAGAGGCTCGGCGCCAAGTATAAAAAGCCCGGAAATTTGGTTGTACGTCATGCCATTAAGTGGAGATGTCGGTAAGTTCAGTAGGATTGTAGTTGCATGAATGGAGAGGGTCGTTCCTCGAATTTAACCATTGTGGAGTGGTGAACTCTTCTTTCCTTCTCTTTGCTAGGCCTTCAAACTTCTATTCTTGATCGCCTTTGTGTCCGCAGTCTTCGCTCGACACCCTGGTAGGATCCTCTTTTCACTTCATCTAAATTTGTGCTTTCGTCATTTGAAATTCTAACTTTTATGATATTGGAAGACGTAGATGTTGAAGCCTCCATAAGGCTTGGGCTTGTTAGGTGCTCATACCTTTCTCAGAGAATGCAGTTTGGAAAGCCAAAACCGCGCCTTGGACTATTTTAAACCATCGCGTAATTCCTGCCCGACTTTGATAAAGATAGTTGGAAAGGCCTTTATGATTGCTCATTTATGTTGCCGAATTTACTGGTAAATATGGAGGCGTGCGCTTTTAGCTTTTTTTCAAGCCCTACAATGGGAGAGGAGCCTCCTTAAAAAAGTGAAACTGTAGTTACTATTTTCTTTCATTGCTTTTACCGATCCCGTCTGCTTTATTAATCGACTCTTTTGGACGAATCCGCTTAGGCCATCACTGGCGTCATGGCGACGAAGACGATGACGATTATTACGGCAGACGACACGGCTACTCTCATCATAGAGAGCATGATCACGACGACGACGACGAGGATGATGACGATGAACGCGATGAGGATGACAGTGATGATAGGGAAAAGAATCGAACACAACTAATTACGGCTTCTGGTGGTGGTCACAGCAGAAGGGTGATGTGGAGCGGTAGTTCCAGTTATCCCGGCTACAAACGCTACCACAGAAGGCCTTTGTATAGACCAGCCGTTCCTCCACGAACCTACTTGTCCAGACGAGGTCTTATAACACCCTCACCCCCGGTTAGGCCTGTTGCACTGCACAACAAGGAACGAGCTAAGGATCTACGCTACCGTCAGGGTCTCCAAGAATTGCGTGATCTTATGTAATGCCCAAGTAATTCAGATTTGACTACTTTTGTGTTGTTTTCCCCGCGATCTAGATACCTTTTTAATTAACAACAGCCTTTAAAAATCACTTCTCCTTCTTGCTAATAATGGTGGTTCGCTGAAATGGTATCAGTAGTATTACCATCTATTGGACTGAATAACGCATGTGCAACATTAAAGGATGTAAACGCTGATGTCTTTAAAAGTCATTGACTGAAATCACGCAAATGTTTACTTCAAAGTAGCTCCAACGACCTCCCTTGAAGGTGGCATCAATTTCCGTTGTTTTATGTGGAAACTGTGTAGCACCTTCTGTCCCTCAAAAACCGCGAAGCACAATTGGCTTTAGAGCTGAAAGCATTGGTCCAGTTAGAGACGGAGTCACTGCATGAGAGGCTGTTTGACTCAGCAAGCCATCCACTGGCTCCGGGCGAGGCAGAGTCGGAGGAACTTGAATCAAGTTGTCTGGTACTTCTTAACGTAGACGAAGCTTCGCACCTGTTGACTTGATGAATTAACCTAACAAAAGGCGAGAAAAAACTACTCCTTACAGTTCACGTGCATCTCCTCGAAGTCTCCTTTCACTTGCTGGGAAGGAACGTCATTTGGATGGAAATTAGACATTTTCACAGAACTGAAAGCCTCCTTTTGAGAGCTCCTTGCAACAAGCATTGCACCACAGCGCTGCACAGCATCGAGGCGGATTCGAAGCAAGCGTCAACGTGCGCGAATTCTGGTGACGTCGCTAACTCTCAGGTGTTGGTTTTCGCTACCAATGAGGTGCTGCGCTTCATGATGTGATCGAATTCGAGGCAAAAAGTATAAAAGAACGCAAAAAAGTAAACAGACTCCATTTCACATACTAGCGATGTCGGTGAGTTCACTTGTGATGCTGTTAAGGTCGTCTCTTCATGGAGAAGCCGCGCGAGGCGACGTCTAGCAGTCCACTTATCTTCACTTTCTCTCTTGACAGACCTACAAACTCCTCCTCCTCTTCGCTCTCATTTGCTTGGCTTTGGCAGTTCAAGCACGTACGCAAAATTGCCTTTAATTCTTCCCAAAATTAAATTTTTAAGTCCACTTTTTGTTGTCATCCTTACTTTTTACTTCCCTCGCCTCCGTCAGCGCTTTGAGTCACCACGGTTGTTATTGATACGTTATAAACTTTTTGCCTAATTGTACACAAAATTAAGAACGAATTGTTTCATGCACCAGAGGTCCGCCCCTCCTTCACCACCTCTGAGGGCTTTTCATCGGACGGACAGAATCTTCAATTGCCTTGCAAACCAACAGTGCCACATTTTCCTCAAACTTTTACCCACCTCAAATTCTAAGATGCTAAATTTAAGGAAAAGAGAGTTCGTTTTATTTTGTGTGTTTGCGTTGGAGCAGCCTGGAGGGCTCAAGTGGCCACTCCACCTGACGGGCTGCCTTGGAGCGGCGCAAGAGGCGACGACTTGGTCACCGCCTTTTCATTCCTTCAGCCAAGCAAAAAGAAAAGGTCTTTGAAGTGTTTGTTTAAAAAGCTGTCAAATCTTCATTTTTAAGTAAAAGAGAAACCACTGTCTTCTCTGTTAAACACTTTTTTTGTCTCAGTGGCGTGGGTCGACCATTTTTGTGGGGAAAAATGAAGTCCACTTAACTGGAAAGAAATGTGCTACGAATCTTTGCATTTCGTTTAATTTCTGCACAGATTGTTTTGTTTGTTTTGCACAAAAATTTTGTCCTCAATCTAAGCGTTTCCCAATTCTGTTCCATCATGCACCCAACTTTGCTCTTTCACCACTCAGACGAAACAGTGTTTTCGTTCGTCTCGCAATTGAAAGCGTTGCGATCGTTTTAAACCGACTTCACTCAACTCTCCACCGTCATCGCTTCAATCACGTTTTAGGTGTTGTCAAGGCACCCCACCGTGATGGCTTAGCTGCAGTGGAAAAGAAAAGTGCAGCAAGGAGGTCAGTGATTTGGTCAGGCGCAAACAGCTATCCCGGCTTCAGGGACAGTCGAAGGCGAAGACATGAAAGGGTGCACAGACAGGATCTCTCCGAGGCGTACGCCAAGTACACAGCCCAATCGGCCAAGAAACCGAAAGAGCCGATCAGGGTCAAACTGTACAACAAGGAGCGCGCCAATGATCAGCGCTACCGTGAAGGGCTGCAAGAACTGGCCAGTCTGATGTAATGCACCTAGTCAACTCTTTTTGAATTGCTGACGATGGACCGCCCTTATTTTCGTCTTCTATTCTATGACCGCTTTTCTTCTTTTCGCATCCACTCCACTCACCGACAGGTGAGGCCCAATAAAATTCTCATGTGTCAAACAAATTTGACAACATTAGATGAAAGATTCGATTGTCAAATTCATGAAGTTGTTGTAATCAGCATTTTGCGAAGGGGTGTAGAGAAAGCCTCTTGTGTTGAAGACAGACAGAAAAGTCGTTATTCAACTTCGCAGTCACCTTAAAAGGAATTGCATAATCGCACGAGAAGAACGCCACAAACAAGCAATAGTTGAAGAGCAGATGCGGTGCTAGAGATGCGACCTGCAATGTGAAAATGGTATGCGTCCAACCGTCCACAAGGATTAAGTTTTTTAATGAGGGCAAACTTGGGGAGTAGATTAATTTAATTGCTGGTCAGGCTCTGGAATGTCCAACAGCAGAGTTTTCCCAAAAAAGCTGTCAAATGCACGTTTTAAAGAATTTCATTTGAGGCAACACTTTAGCATGTGGTAATCATTGAAAGCACCTCGCAGTGAGTTGCCGCACATGTGAATGTTGAAGCACCAAAAGGAGTCTGCGTCTCAGCCAATCAGAATGCGCGTTCGCCAAGATGATTGTCAATGCTTTTGTGCGTGCAAATGCTTAATTAGGTAGGCGCTTGTGATGCGCTACTCGGAAAGAAGAAACGTTTCACATATTAAGAATGAAAGATCGCCATATTAACACCCATATGAAACACTTCTTTCAATTACTTTTAAACAAACGACTATTTACTTTGCAGATTATCGTCTATTTTAGGGTATGCACGAATTTGAAAATCACTTAAGTTAAGTGGGAGATATTAAGCTGCAGAGGTTTCTTTACAATTCTGTCGTGATCTGCTTCCTATAAACTCACATTGAGGGTCAGCTATGTCAGATAATAGAAGCAGTTCCTCCCGGCACCTCATAACTTGGGCAGAACTCAGATGGCGAATAGGTTCAAAGCATCGAAGTGCGGACATAACCGGCAGCTCCCGTTAGTTACCGCTAATAAAATAAGATTACCTCTCTACGTGTTTTCCTGTGCAGGAGGTACATAATATCACAAGGAAATTCAAAATTATCATATAACAGACTAATGGAGTGCTATTTGTTTGCTACAATAAAGTCAGCAATTCGCATCACTAATTAGAGACTAAGAAACTTTTCGACCCTAGTCCAACTTTACCATGCCTCCCTGATAATCTCTCTTCACCCAAGTTTTGTTGACTGGCACAAAATGGAGACCCTGCTGGCAGCAAGGAATATAATGGGGGCTCAATTGAATTTATTAAGATTTGCCTCCCCTTGAAATTAACTTTAGCTAAAGTTGTGAACTGTCGGTAGCATAGTCACATGATGTTTAATCACGTTTTGTTTGGCCTTACTGCCGTCGTGCATTGGGTCATGTAAATTGAGTGTGAAATGACTTTAATATTGGTGAAAACTGCTTTTCCCTGGCTGACTCACCAAACATCAATTCGACAATCATAATTTAGGATACTCGTGATTTGCTACTGAAAAATATAAGTAAAAGTTATTTTACAGCCATCAAGCCAATTTGGGGAGTCAGCAGTGATGTTATTCATGAAACGAAGTGACTTAATTAAGCTTCACAGGAAAGTCTTCCCAGAGTTCCGACCTTTAAGGTGTCTTCCAAGGAACGAATGCGACGCTGTATGGCAAAATATATCCCCAAATGATCCCGAATTTGGAATAAATATGGTCAGCGCTTGGTACGATCTCGGACTTGCCGATGAATTTTTTAGGAATTTGGATTCGTAAGGAGAATTAGATTAAGTATAAAGCGACTCTTGCATACTCCTTAGCAAAGCTAAATTCCTTAAGATAATAGATGGAAATCTGACATCTGGAATTGGGAAGGCCAATAAAGCTAAACAGCATAAAGTTGTGTGTGTCAATTGGAGGAAGAACGAGCTGTTTGAATAGGAGTGATAGTGTGATAAAAAATGCGTAAACTCTATCCACATAAAAGCAAGATGCGCCAGATTTTATCTTTCAAGTCTCCAGTTTTCGAATGAAAGCCCTTGTTCGGTCGTATTTACCAGAAATATGAATGCCATTATTGGACTTAAATTTGTCACTCGCATTAGTCAGTTTCTTGTCAAGGAAGTCCACACAGTATTTTCCATTTGGTATAAGAAAAGATAAAAAAATTATTGACATTGCTTTTTGTTAAATGCATCTCAAATCAGTCGATTTGACGCATTCCGTACTTTGCTTCTCTTTCCATTTGAGACTTTTGTCAGCAAATAAAATTAATTTAACAATTTGAAGCTCCTTGAGAACAATTAGGCTACTGTACTCATTTGTCATTTAATTACTCCTTAAGTTGATCTTCGCCGTCGACTTTTGTAGACTCCAGGGTGATTGGTTGAGGAGCCCACTGCATGCCAATGAAGCGTAGTTACATTAGCGTTGTCATTTTGGCATCGACAAGTCATTTGAAAGATATCGGCACTAATTCTATCCCCATGGGGAGGAGTAAGCGATCTCCGAAAGCGCATACCTAATTAGTGCGCCTCTGCCCCACGAGGAGGGCAGGGGTACGCACAAGAATCGGTTGCCGGTGAGGTTGCCACCGCTTCCAACAGGCCAAGCAAAGCAGGCGCACCAAATCCCGATGGTAGTGATTCGTGCCCGGCACAAGAAGTGGTATCACAATCGGATCGCACCACTACCTACGCTTTGGGAGAGCGAAATCCCACTTGGTCGGTGATCCGCAGAGCGGTTGGAAATGGACTTTGATCAATCAAGTGGTCAGTTGGACCCTCGAGTCCCATTTTTTCCCATTGCGGCCTTTGTTCTAAACGTTGCAACAATGCCAACAAAAATTGCGGACAGTTGCGACAAAGAATTTATTAATGAATTGAAAACCTAAGAAGTTTTAGTCAAGCAGAGTGTAAGGAATGAAGCATAGCCACGTAATCCTCTGGAGGCATTTCTAGCGTCATCACGCCTCTGGAGGTGGAATTCGGCTGCGGAGCGGAATCTTTCATGTTCTCCTCCTTCTTCCCCTTGGGCTTAAACCACTGTGGCATTTGGTGTGGTGAAAAAGTGACGCCTTACTGATCTCCACCTGCCAAGTAAGCCTACAATACTCAGTGTAATTAACGAGCGCCACGTGGATGGCTTTTGAGAGCCTCTCCTACACTTTCAAGCCCTTAATTGTGAGTCTCGGGCTTTTAGTTGGACTCTCTTTAGCTTTTAGCTTTGACGTTGCCACATTTTTTAATGTTGACGTTTCTTCCCCACTTTGTAACAATGTGCGTTCTAAGCAGGAAAAAGGCCTGCTTTTGACACCCGAGGCTGCAGGATTGTTGGCAGAGAATGCATTCAAATGCGAGCAGAATGCTCTTTGTGTAGGGCATGCAAGTTTGTGGACCCTCGCTCAGTGTCCCCAAGTGGCCATTTTGGGGTGCAGAAGGGCTTTGAATGGACTAACGAAAGCTGGTAAGATCGAGGATGGCCTCGTGAAGGCTGGAAATTTGCCTTCGTTTTTAGTGGCCAAACCTGAGTACGCTCTACTCTGTCACCACCTTGGCCATCCCGTCAATCAAACTTCATGCAAAGGTGCAGCTTGGCAAGCATCTGACGGTGTGCCAAACCGCAGTTTAGCAGACTAAACTGCTGTCACCTATTTTGAGTACTCAGAATGGCTTTTGGCTCTACCTGGATGTGGTGAAGGCGATTTGGACATTAAACATGACTGTCGTGTGTCAGAGGTCTTGCACAAACTGCAGCATCAATGTGTTAAGCATCTCCCAAACATTCTCAGAGCACTTCAAACACTTTAAATTTTAATGGGCCTCATGAAGATCTTCTGCCAACACATCACTTGGCCGTACATGCTTCCCTAAGACTGCGACGAAATAGCATAGAAACCAACAAAAATGGCAATGCAATCTAAATGCATCGGTCATTTAGTAATTTACTGCGGCAACGGTTACCGTCGGACTCTTCGTGGCAGAAGCTTACATATTAGGCTTAGGAGAAAAAGGCGCTTCTATTCCTCCCCCGCCCAGGTGGAACAGTTTAGTCTCAACAAGGCGCAACTATCAAAACGAATTCAAAGGAGCCCGATAACATCCAACCGATTGGGAGACGCAATCTGCGAAACCGGCATTCGTCCCCCCTCCCCCCCCCCGTTAAGGAGGACACCCCCCAATGAGGGCGACGTGAAACTCCCATTATTTACAATGCCAAAAAAACTTTATCACGGAGAGGTTTTTCAACTAACGTGACGACTATTTTTACAATAAAAAGATCACTTTGAAAATGCTTCTCACTTCAGTCAATTTTCTCACAGTTTGCAATACCTCACAGTCTCTACAGAAAAAGTGGCGCCATAATTTTTCCCAGCACCATTCTGACGTCTTTAACCAACTCATTCTTGTTCTTTACCTGGAAAAGGAAAGAAGGCAATCTTGTAGCAAAATATGATTTGTCAAAATCCGTCTTAATACTCCGCAAATGCGGCTGCACACACATAAAGAGAAGGTAGCTCGTAAGCGATCGAACAGCAGGTAAGTGAATTAAAAGGAGGCTTGATAGGTCCAACCACCTTAATTAATATTGGCACTTAACAGCACACTATATAAGCATAATCGCACTACTTCTGGGAGTCTTAGAATGGCACAGCACATCTGCAGTCGACATCGAGGCCAACACATTCAGAAAACGCATTATGGCAACCCTCGGAGCCAATCTGGATGCCAACATGGACATCCGCAGTATCAACACGGTCATTATGATGGCATGGGCCGAGGATACAGCCATAATCAGTTCCATAATCATGGCCATGACCATTGCGATATGTGTCGGCGGGCTTCCATGCGGCACACAGGAAGCCGAGAATATCGACAAATGTGTCAACATAGACCACAATGTCATCGACACCAGGATTGCCGACATTGCTGCGGACGACGGAATGACTACAGCAGCGACAGCGACAGTGATGACAGTTGTTATGATTATGTTCGACCTGGACGTCCACGTTCTCAAAGGACGGGCAGGAGTTCAAGGAGAAGTAGTAGAGGATCGAGGCGCAGCAAATCCCTCTTCACTCCCATGAATTATGGCAGTCCAGGTTGTCAAGCCTGTCAACAACCATGGGGCGATGGTTATGACTCTGGACCATGTCAGAACCCGTCACAGATGCAGCAGAGATATCAACAAATGCCACCACCACAACAGGGACAGGGTCAGTACCAACCTCCACAGGAACAGCAACAACAACAACAACAGCCGCCGCCGCAACAGAAACCACCACCTCCGGAGCTAGAAGAATTGCGTAAAAATGTTTTCAAAGGCATCAAGGAATTCAGCAAAAGCCTAAAGAAACAACAATGGTGTGGCGATATGGATTATGTACGAAGTACTCGCAAGGTGAAGCATGGACACAAAGATGAGTCATTGGAGGACCACAGAAAACAATCGAGGCGTCGTGACTGGATCCAGCACTACTAAGGTTGTTCAAGTACATTTCGACCGTGTCATTTTCGTTTCAAGTTTTGTGGATTTTATCATTTCTCCACGGATCACTTCTAGCCGCATGATTTCGTCTTGTTAATAAATTCCAAATTTTTTCGTCAACGCAAGTGCACTATCAAATTTACAATTAAATATTAAACATGATCGTTGGTTTGATAACAATGAGCAGTAAATATATGCTTAAGCGAACTCAAAACATAGTTTGACAAATTGAGTTGTTTAAGCAATCCAAATGGGGTCTAATCTCGGATACTACGTGTTGGCGGAAGTTTGGAAGAGACGCATGATGGATCGCTAACGTCTTTAATAAACTCTTATTATATTTAGTTAATTCGATTATATCGCGCATATTTATAAGGTACAGCTGCTTACGTGATTATTTATATTTAATCGACTGCGTAGCTCTCTTCGGCAATTTAGGATTTATACTGAGGTGTGAATGAAATGCTTCATTTCCAGCACACCATCCTGCCATTCATCATTTAATGATGTTGAAGAGCGTCTTCTGCATCGTGCTTTTTACACCCACTGTGAATGAAAAGGTTGCAAAGACATAAGATTCACCCAAGAGCGTGGACAGAATCAATCCGAAGTTTCAGAAATGGTATCGACTGTTAGCCCATGACTAGTTTGCAAGAACAAACACGTTAAGGAGTATTCTTTAACCTAAATGCTCCATTTGTTATCGCGAAAAGATTCGGCTTTTTCTGAAGCATGGTTGCCATTTCAGACTTCCTATCCACATTTTTGGCATATGTGTGGGCTTAGGATTTTGCATAGGCTTGATGCGAACAAGTGATTAAGTGACAGCACACTCCATCCCATCCCATGCACGAGTGGCTGCAGTGTGTTGGCGTCGGATGTGCTTGGGGATAGGGGAGCCATCTATGCTTCCAGCCAAGACTTACAAGGCGCTCTTGAAGTGGTCAGCCTAAAACTCTAAACCAGATACAAATGTGTCGATAGGATGGTGAATGTGCCAGTAAAAGGAATAGCCGGCAATGAAGGGTGGACCTATCCATCTGTCGGTTTACAGAAGTGCACACATCCTCTACTGCCTTCTGATCGCGACTTTATTTTTCCTTCCAGGTGTGATCACTAGATTTTAAAATTCCATCACCGTTTTAAAAGTACGGCGAGCTCATAAGTGAAAAGGAGGCAATCAACTCCTCTTTCCTGCATCTACTCGGAAAATTAAGCCTTTATATTCACACCTGTAGCAAAGACCTTTGACTTAAATTCGGACCTGAGTTAAGCTGTTTGGATGAAGATACACGCCTTCCCCGCTCTGATGAAGACTTGATTAAATTTCAGTATCCTCGGCCTATCACCTTTTGCCTTCACTCACTTCCATCTGGCTTACACAAAAGATGGTGCAGTCGCTTTTGACTTTAAATGGTGTAAGTGGAGCCTTTCTGTTCATCAGTCACAGAAGTTTATGGGCAGATAAAATTATCTAAAAGCAAACAGAAGCAACTTGAGCCTCAATAACCGGCTACTGTATTAACCCTCGTAAGTTGCTTTCGTAATTTTACTTTTTAAAAAAAGAGGAGGAGAAATGCATTGAAAAGAGGTAATTGGAAGGCTGCATGCATGGAGGTTGCGAGCAGAGCCTAAGGAAACGATGAGGCATCGACGCAGTTCCTGCTACTTAAAGAAATAAAATATTTATATTTACAAGGCTAAAAAATTAGTACTGGAGTAACCGAGGCAATTAATGGGTGTATTGCGCTCTTACCAAAAATGTCTACCTGTTTATATGCGAAAATGCAACACCTTTTGGAGTGTATTACATCAATTTTTTTGCGCAGAAGTATGCATTTCGGTTTATTCTCAGAAAATACGCCACTTTTGAGAAGCACTGATTGCCGCAAAATACAGAACAAATGCAGCTCATCTTATCATGCTAATCTAAAGGGTTTTCTGATTTTGAATTTCAGCCTTGCTTCTTTGTCATTGCACCAAATCCTAGACATTTTGATTAAAACGTTTTAACTCCAACTGCATTGCATAGAAGTTCATCCTTAAAAGGGGGTGCTTAAAGAACGCGGTAAAAATGTTTACCTCTACATTTTCACACAAAACTGAGGCAGCTCTCCATATCGTCAAAAGTTATGCGAAAGTTTTACAGCTTGCTTCACATTTCTACAACATCCTTATGTGAACTATGGTAAAAACACTCAAAGATCACTTAAACGTAGCAATCTGTATTTAAAGCTAAGAGGAAACACAGTTGTAAGAATAAAATGACATACAAGGGCTATGGATTTGACAGGCATTTCTCAGAAATAAGTTCTTATGTTGTGGCAAAGAACGAAGGATATTC